CCATCTGTCATCTTTGCGATGCCCCAGTGCTACGCATTAAGAAAATATATTGGCCCCATATTGCCATGGTACAAGATACTAAAGGGCCTTTCAAATGAAAGCCGAGCCTACTCTGACAAGGCCACCTCCGGGGCTGTCCACTCCACACGTAGACACGACTTAACCTACAGATTGCACCCTCAATATTTTGAGAGATTTTTTTTTTCAACTGGATAGCATTCTGTATCCCCACCCTTTGTTCTTTGATTATTTTCCAAAAGGACACCGGGAGCAAGACCATGTTTTTCTTGGGGACCAGTCTCCAAAATGGTTGGATTCTGAGAGCTGAGTCCACTGGAGGAGGAGAATCCACAGCCAGCCCCAAGGACAGGAGATGGCTTGGGGTTCCATCTTTTGCAACCTGGCTACCACATCAAAATACGCCCAATGCACAAAATAGCTGCTGGTCCTGCTCTGTCACATTCTAAATTCACTTTCACAGACCCATGCTGATGATGGCAAGGACTTCCTTGTGACTGGCTCAGATCACTCCCAACAACAACACCACAAAATACAGAGAGCAGATGCTTCTGGCTGAAGCCATTTCCTTGGAAACAAATGTCGCGCCTAACCACATTGTACCCAGCGGGCAGCAGAAATCTGCATCCCCTCACCAGCTTTTAGCAGCATGAACCTGTATACAATGTGCCTTAAGAACACTGTCTCCGTGACAACTTGCCAAGGCAAATGCCCACATCTCTAAAAGCTCTGTTATCACTTCTAAATTCTTCCCCCAGCATTAATGACAGTCTCCCCAGGAGACAAGATGAACCTTTTAAAATGGGAACAGCCGGGTGAGAAAAAAAAAACACCCAGGATGCAAAATTACATTGTCCCTGTTGGCATCCAAATACATCAACCATCAGAGTGCCAAGCGATGCAGGAAAAACCTTACCTCCTATCTCATTATTTTTTTGTGAGTAATACCATTGTTTCCACACTAATATCAATTGTTTCCCCTGTATCTGGGGTCAGGGGAGAAACAAAGGGAAAAGCCCCACCCAGCCTCCCACCCATCCCCAGTCCCTGATGTGAGGCGCACTCTGAGGGTCCTGCTCAAGCAGTTTTGATAGTTCAACAGGTTTGAATTGCTGCCAATCTCGCCATTCCAATCATGATGAAACCTATTCAGAATCCACTGGCTGACAGTCTCTTCATGGTTGGGGCTCTGAGGCCAGCAGTTCAGCTGAAGGGATCTCCAAAGAAACTTTATCGGAGATGATCCCAAACCTGATTCGTGTGTGAGTTTGCCAGTACAGGGTCTGGTACAGTCCTTCACCCCAATCAGCTTATGCATATCTTGGTGGTTGCAGTTGCTGGGTCAGTTCTGTTTCCTGCCCTTTCTTCCACTTGAACCAATGGGTGTTGTAGTCCAGCTCGATCCTACCCACTTCATACTCGGTCCTCACGCAAACCAGTGGGAGCTGCAGCCTAGTTGGGGCGACTCCCCATAACCTCCACCAGGCGTACCCCCTACCCTGGTTCCCATGCATGCTAGTATGTACTGCAGGCTTGTTCAGTCTGTCCCACTTCCCATTTAGCTCTTGTACTTGTCAATGGACATTGAAGCCTAGTTCAACCCAACCAACCCACTATTCAGCCCACATACATACTGACAGGTGCCGTTCTGTCTAGACCCCTGCCTCTGTCCTGGTTTTCATGCTCTCCAATGGGAGTGGTTACCCAGGATGGAGGTGCCCACTATTTCCCTACTAGGCCTCTCCATTTTCCAGATTATGCACTCTCCAGGTGGTTCTGGGATTTAACAGAATAAGCGCCCAGTGCCAGCCTCTGCCATCTGAATCTGCGGCAAAGTCCAACCAACCCTCACCCACTCTAATTTTTGCTTGCACCAGTCAGTCAGAACAGTCAGCCCAATCTGGCCCTTCCCCAGTCTAGCTCACATGAGGCCTACAGGTGTTGTAGCCCTGCCTGGTCTGGTCTGCCCCCATCCCAACTCACGCTCTCCAATGGGAGTGGCTGTCCAGCAGGGGAGCCCATATTCCCCTGCCGGCGTTGCCTCCTCCCCTCCAGTTCTCATGTGTGCGGTTTGGGCGCTGCAACCACATCTGGTATGGCTCACCTCCCCTTGGCATTCCTTAATGTGCACTGGTATGTGTTGCGGCTGAAACTGGCCTGACCTACACTCTATGCTAGCACTCAGATTCACCTGCAGTTGATGTGATCAGGTTCAGCCTGGTCTGCCCCCCACTTATGTCATATGTTTGATGGTGGGTATCTTCCTCTGGCCTGGTCTGGGTTGCTCCATATCATGGTTCTTGCGCTCACCTGTAGGGGCTATGTTCCCACAGAGGATTTTCCCAAGCTCCTCCTTCAGAACCTCTCCCTATGCCAGATCTTGCGCATACTGGTGTTTCCATGGGTCAGCCCTTATTGCTGGCCTTCAATCCATTCCAATTCTTGGTGTTGGATGTTTCACTGCAGCCAAGGCTTGTCCCTACCCAGACACTGCTCACACATGGCTCAGTAGGGGCAGAGAACTAGCCTAGTCTATCCTACATCTACCCAGGTTCTCCGGAGTGCCAGATGGTGAAGGCGTCTAGCCCAGCTTGGTGCGTCCAGCCCCAGTCCACATTTGTTTGTAGGGAGATTGCAGCCATTTCCAGACCAGAACGCAGCCCCCACTCCAGCCCCTGCACCCTCCCTTGGGAATCCCAACCCAGCAAGGGTGTACTCTCACAGCTCCCCAAAAGAGTCTATTCCCAATCCTAGATTGCACGTGTGTCAGTGGGTGCTCTGACCCAGCTGGCATAGCCCCTCACCTGTTTCAGCATTTGCCTTCGATGCTGTGCCGTAGTATCCCTGCCTCATGCAGACCAGTTGGGGTAAGAGCCTAGGTCGGAATGACATGTGCTCCATCCTCATTTCTTTTCTTTTTTGTGAGTTGAAGTTTGCTTGACGCTGCCCGGTCCGCCCCCTTCCAGTGGCAGCTTGGCCCACTCCACATCCTATTTTAGGATGCAGCTTCGGGTAGTGCTGCCTTGACCTGCCCAGATTGCCTTTGGTTCCTTTACCCATAAGCGATGGCAGGTGCCATGGTCACTTCTAGCTTAGCCCCTCGCCACCCCAGCAAGCGAGCTAATCTGCGGGACTTGTATTTCCACAGGATTGGGCCCATACCTCCCCCACAGAGTTTACCCTTGGACCAAGTTCTCTCTCGTGCTGGTTAGTGTCTTGACCCTGCCAAATGTGACCAGTCCACTATTCCACCACCCAGTCAAGTAATGGTACCTAGCCCTAGCCCAGGTCCTCATCCATAGCTTTGGTGTGGACTGGTGTGTGGCAGTCAGTGTTGCTCTATGCTAACAGCCCATCTTAGGATTCCTAATTTATTTAGCGAATCAGTCTGGCCCAAATAGATCTTATGGACACTCCCCTCCAAACCATCAGCTCCATGACATCAGGGGGATGTCGCAAGGTTCGTGGAGAAATGGCATTGAAAGTCAAGCTCACTGGGGTGTACAGGAGTGCTGAGACGCCCGGGCAGCTTTGTATGGACTTTGGAAAGCCCCCCTCATGCACATGAACTTCAAGCAACTTCTTACAACAAATGTAAGGGGACTTTCTTTTTCCTTGGCATGGAGGGGGTCTTTTAGTTAATTATTTGCTTGAGAGGTGGTTGAGGGTTGGGGAGTGCTAAATAGAAACTCCCTGGAATTTTGAATTGTTTACAGAGCCCCCCCCCCAACCTGCCATCTGCTGCTTCACTGCCCCCAAATGTCCACAACAACCCAGAAGTGAATTCCACCCTAGGTCTCCCACACTGGTGGCTGAGACAAGACTGCACTCGGGGTCTGTGCTAGCCTGGAGTCAGGAGGCAGAACTGGGAATGGAAGCCAGGCACTGGGCTGTTGGCACCTGCCCCCTACGCCCCTTCCCACAGTACAGTCCAATGGACCTGGGGCACACAAAACAACATGGCGAGCTGGGCACATACCCAACACATCTCAGCTGTTTCTGTGCCTGGGGAAGAGAAGTTTGCCAGGATGCCCCCTCCTGGGATGGAAGCCATTGCTTAGCTTTGCTGGGATTCCCACCCACCACCCACGGGCCTCACTGACTCCAACATTCTACTACAGGACTAGGAGGGATGCTAGACACCTTGCAAGGGGTACAGGGCAGAGGAGGGAGATGAGTAAGGTCACAGGACGTCAGCGAATGGGCAGAGCTGTGCCCTGGTGCTGGCAACCATGAAGCAAGACTGCGCCTCCCCTGTGAACCTGCTAACCCCCTCCCTAGACTCAGAACCCCAGAATCGTAGCGACCAGTCCTGCCAGTTGCTCTGAGGCTGGCTCGCTCCACTTGCACACCAGCAGCCGGGGGAGTGAGCTAAGCTCTCCAGGCTTGAAACCTACCTAGCATGCTCAGAGTGGGCGGGAAACAGACCCAGGGAGCAACCAGTAAAACAAGGCAGGCAGGCAGGCAGGCAGGCCGGCCTTCAGCACCATCCCCTCTCACTCTGGCTAAGCGGGAAATATGGCACAGGTGGTGCCACCCCAGGGCTGCCAGTTCAATCCCACACTGCTGCTCCGCCTACCCCCATGCCCCCAACCCCAGCCCCACCCTGAAGGCTACAAGCCATGTTTGCAGTATCTGAGTTGGCTAGGCCCAGCCCAAGTCTTCACAACCAGAGTTGGGGTGCCATGTACAAGCGTGCTACTGTCATGCACACACCCATTCCTACCCCGGGGAGCCCCAACAGGCAAGGTCTCTCAGACTGCCCCCCACAGCTCCACCACTGCCGGAGGCCCTAAGATACTCCCTTCTCCCAGCTTCTCCCTCCCCGACAGGGATCTGGAGAGGCAGGCTCACCGTGCACAGGAGCATCCATTCTTCTCCGGGGCTAGGAGGTCTGGGCCATGCTGGAACACCCCAACCAATCGCCAGCCATCACTACTTCTCCTGCCTCCCATGCCCCCCACACCCCAGAATGTCCTTACCTGTAGTAAGACAGCAGGCCATTGCCCAACACGAACCAGCGGCGCTGGTAGCCCTTCAGGTAGTTGGTCCACTTAAGAAGCCAACCCTTGAAGCTGTCCAGGGTCAGGGAGCCCATCGGGACGCTGGAGCTTGTGCCGCTTCCCGCCACGGGCACCCCCACGGGGGTCTTGGCCTGTCCAGGTCGCGGAAGCGGCAGCGGCTTGAGAGCCGCCGGCACCAACCCGGACTCCACTTTGGGCACCGGCGCGCTCTCTGTCACCTCCAAGATCAGCTGCTCCAATGAGGTCCTGTGCTGGGCGCCAGTCCTGCCCCCCGGACTGGACTCGGACCTCGGCCGTAACTTCAGCATCAGCTCCCGTCCCTGCCCAGCGCTGGGTCCTGGCTCAGATATCCTTGGTACTCGCTCCAGAACCGACTCCAGTGGCGGCTCCGTGGTCGGCCCCGCTTGGGGCTGTGGCTGCTGCTGGGGTTGAAGTTGGGCTTGGAGCTGAGGCTGGGACTGAGGCTGGGGCTCCGGCTCGGAGCCGGAGGTGGGCGCGCTCATGGCCGGCGCCGCCGTGTGGCAGGACAGGCAGGGGACCACCGTGAAGAGCGACGAGAGCCCACGGGAGCGGCCGCCGCAGCCCCCTCCTCGGCTCTGAGCGGCCGCTTTCCCCATAGAGCCCGGCGACCCGAGCGCGGCCGAGCGGGGCGTGGGGGTGGGGCGGGCCGGGGGCGCCGTGGCCCTCGCTCTGCCACGGGCGCAGGTGCAGGTGCAGGCGCGGGTGCTGGGCGCGCGGGGCGAGGCGAGGGGGATGCGTGCGTGCGCGGGTCCAGCCGCCTTCCCGCGCCTCGCTGGCTGTTTGTAGTCGTGCGGCCGAAGCGAGCAAACCGATCTGGACCGTGAGGTCCCTGGTCCTTGGAACGCGCGCCCTGGACGCACCTGTGCGCGCCGCGAGCTGGGCGGGCGGGGCCGGCGGAAGCGACAGCGCGCTTTCGGGCCACCGCGCCTGCCGGCGACCCAACCCGTGCCAGGCGCTAGGGGGAAGGGAGAAAAAAAAAAAAAAAAAAAAAAAGAGAGAGAGAGAGAGAAAGAAAGAAAGAAAACAAAGATGAATGCGCAGCTCGGCCCGCGGGGCCCTACGCCGACGCCGACCCGCTCCCCACCCCCGTCACGGCTGCTACTCCGGGAACGAAGCCGGAGCAGGTGCGGTGCCAAAAGCTGACGAGCGACGACCCGCCCCACAACCGCCCACCCCTACCCGCCCTGGGAGCCTTGTCCCCTGGGATCTTCCTTCTGCAGCCAGGAGCGGTGGCCCCCGTCTGTCTCCCGGTACCCGGTCTGTGGTTCAAGACGAACTTAGTTGTCAGTGGCGACTTTTCGAAAACCTAGCTTTTCCAAATGAATTAGGGACAAGAAGTTTTTGTAAACCAAAGCACTTTAGTACAAGGAACCACATAATAGTAATAATAATAAAATAATAATAATTTTATTATTAAAATAATAAATTTCAAATAATATTATTTAAAAGGCAGAGTTACACAGAGAGGAGAGAACTTCCATCTGCTGGTTCACATGGCAGTGGCGGGGGCTGGAACAGTTGGAAGCCAGGAGCTTGGAGCTGCTTCTTCATCTCCCACGTTGGCAGGGAGCTGGGATGGAAAGTGAAGCAGGCAGGACTGGAGCCAGTGTGCACCACGATGCCAGCCCCGTGGACCACGTCTTGATGACCATGACAGTGATGTCGGGGATGGGGGGGATCCTGGGCTTCGGGAGTGGGACCCACTAAGGCGATCCGAGCTGGGCCATCCCCCGATGGAGGGACAGCCGACAGGTGATAACACCCGCTTCCTGGTGAGCGACAAAGGCACAGGGGTGAAACATCAAGGACATCGTAGACGCTCAAGGAAGAGAGTTGAAGTGCTGAACCAGAAAGTGCTCCATGATCTGGTCATGGGGGGAAGCCGATTAGTCAACCAACACCAAAGGCAGTGCTCCGTCCCATATGGATGCCGGTTCAAGTCCCAGCTGCTCCACATCCCATCTAACTCTCTGCTTATGGCCTGGGAAAGCAGTCGAGGACGGCCTTGGGACCCTGCATCCGTGTGAGAGACCTGGAAGAGGATCGTGGCTCCTGGCTTCAGATTGGTTCCGCTCCAGCTGTTGTATATCTGTCTTTCCAATAAAAATAAATAAATCTTAAAAAAAAAACTTAAAGAAATAGACATAGCTGATCACCCTGAAGGCTAGTATAATACCACTTCATTGTTCAGAAAATAGGGAAGGGAAAGAATTGAGCCTGTGTCCTGCCTTTCTTTCTTTATTTTTAGGATTTATTTATTTTCACATGACGGATTTAAAGAGATAGAGAGTCAGAAAGACCTTCCATCCGCTAGTCCACTCCCCAAATGGACACAATGGCTAGAGCTGAGCTGAACAGAAGCCAGGAGCCAGGAGCTTCTTCCAGGTCTCTTATGTTAATACAGGAGCCAAGGACTTGCTTTGCCAGGCTTTTCGCAGGGAGCTGGATTGGAAGTGGATCAGCCAAGTCTAGAACCAGAGCTCGTACGGATGCTGGAACCCAGACGGAGGATTAGCCTCTTAATGCCACTGTGCACCAGTGATCACGCTTGCTTGCTCCGAGCAGGATTTGTTTCCTTCCACCTCATGGCTATTTTGCAGCGCTGTAGATGGAAAGTTCTGGGGGTCCAAGAGAAGGTGACCAAGGGCCAACACCACCATTCAGCCAGCTTCCCTGCCACCCTGAGGTGCCAATGGGAGAGCTGCAGGTTGGAGAGAGGTTTCTTAGGAAGGCAGAAGGGCCCAGAAAACACCTCTGGGGAGGATGGGCTGGGAATGTGTGTGTTCCTATTAGAGGTTCCCAGGAATTCCAGGACCCAGCCTTTAGGTCCACAGCACACACAGGTATGTGCTAAGCGCCCAAGTGCAGGTGTCTGCTGACCCCTGGCGGTCACTGTGGGAACTGCCTTGATTCCCCGCTCCTGGCCCCACCCACCTCCGCCCCAGGCCTTCCAAGCTCCTCTGGGAGGCTCTGGCCTGGTGGCCTCATTTCTCTAAGCACCTTCTCACCTTGTGAGAACCTCCACAAATCCTGGAAGGGAGGACAGCTGCCAGTCCCTCCCGCTGCACTGTCTGCCCCAGCTGGCCAAAGTGTCAGAGGAGAAACAGCCCATTGGTCCACAGAGTGGCCGAGGGCCCAGGCACTCCTGTCCCCAGCTCACCCTCACGTGCCCATACTAATCAGGAAAAACCGGGAGGTGTCTCAGCAAACAGGAAAACCTGTTTCTCCACCTTAGCCTTCTATTGTGGTGGGCTGGGCCAAAGGGAGGAATGAGCAAGTGCTGGTGGAGGGTGGCAGGGAAGAAAAGGGTGTGAAGACTTGGGGATTGCTCTGAGTGCCAACCAGAAGAGTCTACCTGTCTCCAAGACACATTGTCCCTTTAATTGCACTTATTTTGTCCCTTTTGGTTGGCTGTTTTCAATGCCACTGAGCTGGAATTTTGAAATCCCTGCCCCTCACAACACCCTGGGACCAGGGCCTGCCAAATGAGACTTAGGTCTCTGTCCCAGACTTCCTGTCTGTCCTGCTATAATTTCTTCAGGTACTCGTCCTGTTATCTACAGCTTCCCAAGCACATTAGTAGGAGGTCGGATGAGAAGTGGAGCATCCAGGACTTGAAATGGCATTGCAATATGGGGCGCCACGTGGCCCCTCCCAGCCATGGTATATACCACTGCTCTCCACGGTCAGGGCTCAGAAAGTTCTGGCACTGCAGGCGTGTACTGTCTTCCTGGAGCTGATGATGGCCAAGATGCAGCTCTGTGCCCAGCAAGCAGCTGGGAGCAGTGCCCCCTGCACCACCCAGCCAGGGCTCTCTGCTGATTTGGTGCCTGGTTCTTCTCAGCTGCCTGACAGGGGGCATGGTGTCTGCTAAGTGCTGGGAATTTGAATGAGAAAATGAAAGGACGTGCCTGACTTGTCGTAGGCGCTCCGTAAAAATAGAAGTGCCTTGTCTTTTTCTCCCAAGTCCCGGCGGAATGCTGCAGGGAGGGGGGCAGAATCCACCAGGCGCGTGGCACATTTCAATCCTGGGAAACCGTCCCCAGCATTTTAAAGTGCAGCGGAGTGCATTGTGGGATGGGCAGAGGGTGGCTGAAGTGTTTTTTAGCAGGAAATGAAAGCAAAAAAAAAAAAAAAATACCCTTAAAAAAAATAAAGGACGGGTGGGGTGAAGATGGCTCTTTGGTGCAGTCTCAGCTATCTGTCAGGATCTCTGCATCCCACACCAGAGAACTCTGGCTCCAGTCCTTGCTCCAGCTCCTGGTTAATGCACACCTTGGGAGGCAGCAGGTAACGGTTCAGGTACTTGGGTCCCTGTCGCCCACTTGGGAAACCCCTGACTCCTGAGTTCTGCCTGGCAGGCAGTAGGGGGTAAACCAGCAGATGGAAGACCCTCTCTCATTCTCTCACCCGTGTCACCCTAGCAGTCTATCCGGAATGATGCATGGGTCCTTCAGCTGCTTGACATGAGGCACGTGTGGGTGGGACTCCAGCTTTCTGGCTACATCACTGGCCCCATGGGACTGTGTCATCTGTGAAACAGGGTAGCTGAGACATGGTTGGGGTTTTGCTCTGTGGCTCAGAAGCCTCTGGGTCCTAGGCCCTCCACATTCACATGGAGTGATTATGGTGGACCTCGTGGCACAGTGGGCTAAGCGTCCATCACTTCAGGACATCTGCATCCCATGACCCACATCCTGGTTTGAGCCCCGGCATCCCCGCGTCGGACCCAGCTTTTGTGGCGGTGGCAGGCAGCTTGGGCTCTTACTACTCATGTGGGAAGGGAATTCTAGGTGAGTTCCTGGCTCCCGCTTCACGCTTGCTCCAGCCCTGGCTGTTGTGGCTGCTCTGAACCAGAAAGTGGGAAGATCTCTCTGCTCCTCTGCTTTTCAAATAAATGATTTTTTAAAAATAAAAAGATATTATTTGGGGCTGGTGCAGTAGCTTAAGGGCTAACTGTCCGTCTCTAAGTGCCAGCATCTCATGTGGGCACCAGTTCAAGTCCCAGCTGTTCCACTTCCTATCCAGTTCCCTGCTTGTGGCCTGGGAAAGCCTTGGCACCCTGTACCCGCACGGGAGACCTAGAAGTCCCTGGCTTCTGGCTTCAGACTGGCTCAGCTCTGGGCACTGCAAATCATTTGGGGAGTGAATCAGCAGACAGAAGATCTTTCTGTCTCTCTGACTCTGTAGATCTGCCTTTCCAATAAAAATAAATATTTAAAAGAGAAAGAAAAGGATACCATTTTTCCCATAACATCTTCTTTCCAATTCTCCCCCAGTTTCCTCCTTTAAACCTCCTTCTTCCTGTCCAATAACTAAGTGACTTCTCGAGAATTCTTCCCTTCTTCTCCCATATTTAAATGCCAAATCCTCTGCGGGTTTTGTTTGTTCTAATGAAAAACAGCACGACTAAGACCACCCAATCAGAAGTGACACAAAAGTTTCTAAAGTGACTCACCTGATTGATATCCCACCTCTGTCCATCTGCTCTACTCCCAGGGGCCCCAAATGTGTTGGTCCATCACGTCGTCGGGGTGCAGAGAGCCTCAGCCAAGGCCAGCCACCCAAGGGAGAAGAGTGCCTTATGGTTGAGGGCTAGACCAGGCTAAGGCTTGGGAGGGGGCTGCACGGGGGACAATCTAGAAAGTGGAAAGTTTTGGGGAGGTTTTGGAGGGAGGCCAGCTGCACGTGTGGGCTCCCTGAGGCCCCCAACACTTCTCTCTCCCCCAGGCACCTAGCAGAAAAAGTGATCTGAGGTTGACATATGACAGACAGACTGGGTCTGAGAAACAAGAAAAAAATGTTAGCAGCAATTGATTCAAGAGGTGCATACACGTGTGTGTTTATAAAGAAGCTTTTACAGTAATGCATCTTAAGGAAAAAGTCAGATTCATAAGGAGAGTAGACAGAGAGAAAGATCTTCCATCTGCTGGTTCATTCCCCAACTGGCCACAACAGTCAGAGCTGAGCCAATCCAAAGCCAGGAGCCAGGAGCTTCCTTGTGAGTGCAGTGTCCCAAGGCTTTGGGCCGTCCTATACTGCTCTCCCAGGCCATAAACAGGGAGCTGGAAGAGAACTGGAACAGCTGGGACACGAACTGGTACCTATGTGGGATCCCAGTGCATGCAAGGTGAGGACTTTAACCACTAGGCTACTGTGTTGGGCTCAGTAACGCATCTTTAAAATAAATTTATTCTGGGCCCAGCTCCGTGGCCTAGTGGCTAAAGTCCTCGCCCTGAACACACCGGGATCTCATATGGCCGCCGGTTCTAATCCCGGCAACTCCACTTCCCATCCAGTTCCCTGCTTGTGGCCTGGGAAAGCAGTCGAGGACGGCCCAAAGCCTTGGCACCCTGTACCCATGTGGGAGACCTGGAGGAAGTGCCTGGCTCCTGGCTCTGGATCGGCGCAGCACCGGCCATTTGCACTCACTTGGGGAGTGAATCATCGGATGGAAGATCTTCCTGTCTCTCCTCCTCTCTGTATATCTGACTTTGTAATAAAAATAAAGAAAATGTTAATAAATAAATAAATTTATTCTAACAAGTTGTGCTCAGCCAAAGAAGCAGACAGGAACTTAGGGAGGAGCTGGTCGTGATTCCCGCTGACAAGGAGCAGAATCCTGAATCCTCAAAAGGGAGAACCGAGCAGAAACGGAGGAAACAGTGCCAGCAGCATGTGCCCCGCCCCTCGGGCCTCAGCGCGTACTCAGACCAAACTCAAAGGAATGGCTGCCAGGTGGTGCCAGGCTGCAGTGCTGGGAGCACGGGGAGGAGGAGGAAGACTTCTGAGAGTCCCAGGCTGACCCCTTCCGGCCCCTGGCCTGGAGTCAGGCCACCTAGTTTTAATTCTCTGTCACAAACTTGCTCTGTGACTTTGGGCAAGTCAGGCCACATCTCTAGGCCTTACCAAAAAACTCAAGTCAACTTAAAATAAATAAATAAATCAAAACATAGCAAGGGCTGGAAGGCCTGGCCTGTGTCCCAGCTGCTCTTAAGTTGTGTACCTTGGGAGGCAGCAGGGAATGGCCTGAGTTACTTGGGTCCCTGCCACCCACGTGGGAGACCAGGGTGAAATTCCCAGATCCTGCCTGTGGCCCGAGCCGGTCTAGGCTGTTCTGTGTTGTGGGCATTTGGGGAGTGAACCAACAGATAGGAGACCTCTCAAATTCAACGGAAAGAAATAAAGCATGGGAGAGGCTCCCTGCTCTGTGCCCTGTGCTGTAACCCAGAGAGGAACAAAGGAGTCGTTCATCTAAGAGACCCTGGGTGTTGGCTCCAGTTACGAGGCACTGTGGTCAGGGATGAGTGAGCTGGCGCCGCTGCCAACCACGTGTCTGGCACCAGCTGTGGGACTTGGTGCACTCAGAGTGCAGAGAGGGCGTGCACACACGGCACACAGGAAGCCTGAACTGAACCCCGAAGCACTCCTCCTTCTCCCCTTGCCCTCAGAGAGTACCCGGGGCGGAGTAGGGGGGCCTCTCTGAAAAGACGGTGGGCAATGCATCTTGGGGGGTCAGGGAGGAGAGGAAATCCCTACGCGTGGATTTGCAGGCTTTCAGCATCAAAGCAAACTTTCCATCTTCCATGAAGTTCTCAAAGTCCCCACCCCCCCCACACACACAACTTCATCTAGGATTTAGGACAAACACCCAAACAGCTGCCACTTAGGCAGAACGGAAGCTGGTGTCTAAGTCATCCTTGTGGGGCGAGAAAACCCACGGGACGTGGGGAAGAGGAGGCAGGAAGTGGCTCACAGGCAGTGGCACTGAGATAAGGGTGGGGTTGGGGTGAGCTGGGGGTGTTGATATTCTAGAAGGTTCTTCACTGTGAAAGCACAACATGGAGACTTTCCGTGGGTGGGTCGGCACGGCATATAGCCCATACGGTGAGCAGCTGCCGTGACAGCATTGTGGGCCAAGACCCTGACATCCTCACGTTTCCATGCTGCTGTCCTTTGGTTATTTCCAATTGGGGTAAAGGGGGCTGGGCCTTGAGGCACAGAAGGTGCTGCTTGCCACACGACTACTGCATCTTAAATTTCAACTTTTCTGGTCTACATCCCGCCCCCTACCAATGCTCCTGGGGACGCAGCGGATGAGGGCCCACGGACCCGGGACTCTGGCACCTGTTTTTGGAGACCAGCAGGGAGCTCCTGGTTTCAGGCTTTGGCCTGGTGCCCACCCGGCTGCCATGGCCACTTGCAGGACAAAACAGCAGAGGGAGGAGATCCCAGGTCACATGCTAGATAGGGGGTCTGATGCCCCACCCTGACCCCTTACCACTGGAATGCCCGCTATTTGAGGACCTGTCCATCTTAGCTATCACCGTCACAGACATACCAGTACTGAAGTTTCCATCTTTTCCCTTGGCCATGGACTTGGTCTGATGCAGCCTCTTCCACTCCAACATGCACTGAGATATCAGGATCAACTTCAGGTCATAGAAAATGACTGCAGTAAGGAATATTAGCGTTGCTTAAGTTTTTTTGTGTGTGTGTGTTGTTGTTGTTGTCGTTGTTTTGGGGAAATTTTTTTTTCTTTTTGTTTTTGGGTGCTCCGCTGTCCACTGATCTTACTGTTCCACGATGGCGTGCAGTTGCGTGTTTCTAGTGTCCTTTGGTCAGATGAGCGTCATGGTGGCCCTGGGCGACATCACCCTGCCGGGATTAAGGCAGCTGGCCCCGCTTGGGAGAGGGGCCCTGCAGCTTTGGCAAGCCATACAGGTACTGTCGCATGTTCATGGACTCCTGTCTCCAGCGGCCCAGCTTCCTGAGCTGGTCCGTCATGAATTTCTTTTTCAGGTGATCATGCAAATGGCTCATCTTTTTCTTGGTCTTCTCAGAAGCCTTTATCTTACAAAAGAAACAAATGAACAGAGGGGAGGTCAAGGGGTGAGAAGCCATTTCGCGACAAGCAAGGCATCTTGGGATTGCAAACGTGGTGGTGGAAAAAAAAAGTGTGCATCCTAACACTCATTCCATCAATACCTTCATTCACAGGCAACTTCAGTTACTCTATTTGCTTTCTTTTTATTTTTTTCAAAATGTTTATTGGAAAGGCAGATCTACAGAAAGCAGGAAAGACAGAGAGAGAAAGATCTTCCATTTGCTGGTTCACTCCCCAAAATGATTTTAATGGCCCAAGCTGAGCTAATCTGAAGCGAGGAACCAGGAGCTTCCTCTGGGCCTCCCATGCGGGTGCAGGGTCCCAAGGCCTTGGACCGTCCTCGACTGCTTTCCCAGGTCACAAGCAGGGAGCTGGATGGGAAGTGGAGCAGCCGTGGAGGCCTGCAAGTGATCTGTCACCGCTGCTAAGGCATCTCCACCACCTTCCATGTCAGGGTCCCATGGACCCATCCAGATTTGGCCCCACAACCCAGAGGGAAGCTCATCAGAGTGTCCAAAAGAGGGCACAGCCTGTGAGATAGGGGTGCGAGGCCAGGAGCCCAGACGGGCACCACTCCAGTGTGCCTGGGAAAGCAGCAGATGACCCGAGCAGTTAGGCCCCTGCTGCTCATGGGGGAGACCCTGATGATGTTCCTGGCTTCAGCCTGTCCCCAGCCCTGGCTGTTGTGGCCATTTGGGGAGTGAGTCAGCAGATGGAAGATCTCTGCCTCTGCAACACTTCCTAATAAATAAACCAAAATCTCAACTAAAAGAAGTGGACAGCAGCTCAACACCACCTTGCCTCCCCCACTTCAAAGAATGAGACCACCGGTGGAATTCACCTTGCTCATGTTTCCTTCTAGTTCCCCGACACTGCACCTGCCCCCAGTAGGCCCTAAATACAGACCCACTGAATGAATCCCTCAGGGTTCAAGGGCAACACTGGCATGAAAGCACATCAGGCTTTGGATGGAGTACACAGGTCAAATCCTACTTACTGGGGCTGCTGCAATGACCCAATGCCTAATTCCCGCTTGCAAGTACCGGCATCCCATAAAGGCACTGATTTCGTATCTCAGCTGCTCCACTTTCCCATCCAGTTATCTGCTTGTGGCCTGGGAAAGCAGTGGAGGATGGCCCAAAACCTTGGGACCCTACTCCTGCATGGGAGACCCGGAAGAAGCTCCTGGGTTAGGAACATCTCAGCTCCAGCCATTGCGACCATTTGTAAGGTGAACCAGCAGATGGAAGATCTTTCTGTCTCTCCTTCTCTCTGTAAATCTGCCTTTCCAATAAAAACAAATACATTTAAAAAAAAAAAAAAACAAACCCTACCTGACCAGAAACAAAAGGGTGGCCCAAGAGCCTCAGTGGTCATCTGGAAAATGGGAATGATCCAGAAAAGAAACAGTATGACCAGTAAGCAGGGTGCCAATCCAGGCTGTAAGACCCAAGCCTTCATAAGGGAGATGGCCTCCCTAAACACAGAGATAAAGTACTTTTTTGGGGAGGGAAGAGAGAAAGATACTACAAGACCCAAGAGACGTATGTCTTCCTCCCTGGTTTTCTCGGCATAGGAGCAGATGCCACACACCTTGGGCACATCAGCCCCCTCAAGGGTCATTTGGCCAGGGACCCATCACCAACACAGGCTGCCATCCACCTCCCAGGTTCCAGGCTGGGATGGCATATGGGGGCAAGTGAAACGTACCAAGGTGGCTTAGACCACGAAGGCGATGGCCGTCGGCTACTTTACCTCCATCTCATAGATGCGCTGGGCACTGAGGTTGTCACGAATGATCACCCTGGATAAATGGCTCTTGGGCAGAAAATGTTTTACTGCTGCCTCGCTGGAGTTCATCACGCTGTAGGGAAGGGGAGACAGGTGAGTGAGGACTCAGGGCCTGCCAGACCGCCAGTGACCATCCCCTAAAAACCTTCCTGAGAAAGATCCAGAGACTGGGACATTACCCACATGGGACTAACTCTGCTAGACTTACTCATTACTGCGGCCAAAGAACATTGTGTCAAAACATCTGAGGTCACCCTCACGGCCCTGCCTCCACCTCCTATTTTTTCTGCCTCTAAAATTTTCTTCTAGTTTCAACCTCTTTCAAGACACTCCTCAAAGACTCTGTAGGCGTCATTCTCTTCCCTCTGACCCCTTCTAAGTGGACAGTGAGTTGGAAGAGGGGATTAAGACTTCGAGAATATTCTAGTACCTAGGGGTTCTGGCAGGATGTGAAATGGACCTCCCTGGGGGCCCAGGCTATGAGGAGAGGAACGGGGGGGTTCCAAAAGGGACAGGGTGGGCCCCGAAACCCAGCTGCAGGTGCGGGATCCGGGTCTCGGCTGCGAGTTCGGCCTTCTCTCAGGATCCCACCTGAAAAGCACCTGAGGCTGCAAGGTGCGCGGCCGCATGAAGAAGACCTGCGGCTGGACCCCGAGGACCGGCTCGGCTCGACTGCCGAACCCGTCGCGTCGCGGCTCGGAGGCTGGCTGGGTGCCGGAACTGGCGGGGGTGACCTGGGCAGTGGTCTCCCGCTCCCTGGGCAAGCCCAGGTCCCAGGTCACCGAGGGCCGAACCGGCTGCGCGGCGGCTTCTTTGATGACCAAGGGCGACTCGGGAATGGGAGTCAAGCCGGTAGTCATCGTGTGTGAGAGGACAGACGGACGCGGACTGAGGGCGTCGTCGAGGCCCACGCCGCGAGGCCGCGTGCCAGGCGTTGCCCGGGAGACGCACGAGAAGGGCGTGGCCTGGGCGGACCGTGATAGGGGCGGGGCTTGGGCCAGGCCGGGCGGGGCTGCAGGCGGGGCCTAGGCCGGGCGGGGGCGTGGCCTGAGCGCGAAGCTCCGGAAGCCTCAGGATTGTCCCTCGGCGGCCGCCATGCGGTTACCTGGCGCGTGGCCGTGGAGACGGGCTGGGGGCGGGATGGAGTGGGCTGAGGTGGGCTGAAGCCACGCGGCCTCGTCGCCCCCGAGGCTTGCTTGTGGGCCCCTGGTGCGATCGCGATCGCGGGGACCGATCACCTGGTGAGCCAGGAGCGTGATTTCTGCGAAGGCTCAACAAGCCGTCCCGGATTCTTCCTGGATCGCGACCGGGGGCCGTTGCCATGGAAACCAGAGCGCTAGGCCGGCAAGGGTGGCGATGGCTCCTGCATCGTGACTGTAGTGTTATCTCCTCGAGACCTTCTCCTCAGACTCGGCGCCGCGCCCGCTTCCCTTCCTCCCCCGCTAGCCCTCCTGCGGACGAGAGGTGAGGCGGCTCCCGGGGGTCCGGGGAGGGAAGCATGCGGGCGTCTCCCTGCCCACGCCCCACAGCCACCCTCGCCCCGCCGGAATCCCTCTCCTCGCTCCCTGTGTGCGGCTTTTTGCAGCCTGGCTGGGCAGGGCGCGAGTGACGGCCCTGAGATTTCTCTCAGTAGGAGAAGGAAGCGTGAGATGGCCCCTCCCTGGGGTGCGACACCCCCTGCATTCCTCTCCATCCCCCACCCACCCACCACCCTTGCCGGGGTTGCTAGGGTGTCCATTATTCTGGCCTCCCGGAAGCTCTCAGCCACTCCCTACGCCCCCCCCCCCCGGGAGACGGGAGGGTGGAGTACCACGTGACATGGATGCGTCCACGGGGCCTCTCCCAGAAGAGAGATGGACCCTGGAAGCGAGAGGTCGGGACCCTCCCTGCCCTTGCGCCAACCCCTAAGGCCACCGTGACTCCCCAGGACAGCACTTCCTGGTCCCAGGTTCCGGTTTGAAGAGGTGGGGGGGGATGATGGGAGGCTATGAGGTGGGGTCACCAAGCGAGAGGATTGAGAGACCCTGCAAGTGGCTGCTGCTTATCCATAATGGACAGGAAGTAGAGAGAGATTTTTCAAAGGGAGGGGACTCAGGCGTGTTGGCCTGTTCCAGGGGAGACAAGACGGGTCCCCCTTGTCCTGAAGGGCAGTGGACACGGGACCCGCTGTGAGTTGAAGGGGGTGCTCCTTAAAGGGGGCCTGATATCCCCCCTGCGAGGATTGCTGTACACCCCTCCACTTTGGGGTTGCACCCCGGCTCAGTGCGCATCTCTGCCTCCCCAACCCCTTGCAGTTTCCCACGCAGAACTATGCCGCCCTCGCGCCCTGCCTCCTTCTGAGCCACCACCACCTCTGCCACCTCCACCTCCGCCGCCTGGATGACCGCAGCCTCGTGTGCCTTCCCCGTGCAGCAGCTGCGCCCGCCCTCGCTCTGCGGCTTCTCGCAGATCACCAGGAGTCTGTACATCAGCAACGGCGCGGCCGCCAACAACAAGCTGCTGCTGGCCAGCCATCACATCACCACGGTCATCAACGTGTCGCTGGAGATCATGAACGTCTTCTACGAAAACATCGAGTACCTGCACGTGCCTGTTGCCGACGCGCCCAGCTCCCACCTCTGCGGCTTCTTCGACCCGGTGGCCGACCACATCCACCGCGTGGAGATGAAGCAAGGCCGCACGCTGCTGCACTGCGCTGCGGGCGTCAGCCGTTCGGCCGCCCTGTGCCTCGCCTACCTCATGAAGTACCACGCCATGTCCCTGCTGGATGCCCACGCATGGACCAAATCGTGCCGGCCCATCATCCGGCCCAACGTGGGCTTCTGGGAGCAGCTCATCCACTACGAGCTGCAGCTGTTCGGCAAGAACACGGTGCGCATGGTCAGCTCCCCGATGGGCATGATCCCGGACGTCTATGAGAAGGAGATGCGGTTTATGATCCCACTCTGAGCACCCCTTTGACCCCGACTCCCGGGCTCCAGGTGGGCGCATCAAGAGGGGGGCCTGATGTGCTCTGCGTGCCCTGCCAAGATCTGAAACCAGGACGTCAAACCTGACATGGACGCAGAAGAGATAAGCAGGAGATGGCGCTGGCCAGGCCTGGGAAGAATCTTGGATGGCCATAGTTTTGAACCTCGTAATCCCCGTGTTTAAAAAGATGTCTACTGTGGGAGGGGCAGGCTGTGACTGCTATGGTCCTTCCTGGTGTTAGAGAGAAGCAGCTGGTATACCAGGAGAGTGGCACACCTGAGGGGGCCTGCGAGCCCTCCCCAAGAATGACCAACCCAGGAAGGAACCTGCTCGCCTGCCACCAACCCCACTTTGCTTTGTTTGTTGTTTCTTTGTTTTTAACTCATACAGCCAGAGCCTTAAGCATGGGGTCACCTTCTGGGCTTGTCAACTTAACCAGACAAGTGACCTTCCAACTGCACCCTGTCCATCTTTGCCACCGTGGCCTAACTCTGGTTCACTAGATCAGATGTACGCACATGCGTAAGGCAGCTTTTGAAGCAAGCATTCCACCAAATAAAATGGCAACCAAAAAAAAAAAAAAAAAAACCCTACACGATTATTTTCTGAGTGTTTTTTTGCACGTGGCAAGGTGTTGGGTTGCCTGCCCGTGATCAAGGCAGCCTCGGTTCAGGGCTTGTGGGGCAGGCTAACGTCAGGCCTGGACTGGGAAGATGTGGAGTCTGCTGCAGAGCAGGGATCCAGCCCAGACACCTTGTCATCACGTGACTCAGGCAGCGCAGGGTGGGATGCGGGCTGAGGGTTCCCATGTGGTCCCCATGGCGCCAGCCCATTTCCACAGCACAGGCAGCTCCCGCATTGAGGCCCCACCTGTCTAAGCTGAGTCCTTGTAAAAGGCTCATCTGTGCCTCGCCTCTGAGGTTTACAGAGGGCTGCTCCAACGATAAAGAAGAACAACCAAGGGTGTCAGGCAGCCGTCGCTTTGGGGCTGTGCTGAACCCAGGAGCCGCCTAAAGGTGCTAAAGTGAGCTGGCACCTGTTCACTCCCCCACACAAACATACACGTAAGTCCTGGTTTAGACTCATGGACTGTGCCAGAGCGGGATCTGCCCAGGACCCTCGGCTGTCCTTACCCAGCGCTTTGCAGGCAAACAGAAGCACAATCGTCCTGCCTCACCCAACCACTTTTTTTTTTTTAGTTTGACTGGCTGAGAGAGAGAGATCTTTGATCTGCTCATTCATTCCACCAAGTGGCCGCCATTGCTGGGCCGGGCCAGGCTGAGGCCCAGAGGCCGGAACTCTAACCAGGTCTCCCACCTGGGGTGCAAGGGCCCATGTTCTGTTTTCAAAGTCTTTTTAAAGCTCAATTCGATCTCTTAGTTGATTTTCTCTGTTTGACAAGTAGAGAACTAGAGGCAGCTCTTCCATCTGCTGCCTCACTCCCCGGATGTCCAGAACTGGGCCGGACCAATGCCAGGAGCCGGCAGCTCACCCTGGGTCTCCGCTGTGGACGGACTCGAGCCCTCACCTGCCGCCTCCCAGGGTGCACATGAGCAGGAAGCTGGATGAGAAGCCGAGCCCAGAGGAGGCCAAGCGCCCTTTCTTACCAAACTTCCATGCATCATCTTTTTTTTTTTAAATAAAGATTTATTCATTTTTGGGCCTGGCAGCGTGGCCTAGAAGTTAAAGTCCTCACCTTGAACATGCCAGGATCCCATATAGGTGCCAGGTTCCCATATCCTGGCAGCTTTACTTCCCATCCAGCTCCCTGCTTGTGGCCTGGGAAAGCAGTGGAGGACGGCCCAATGCTTTGGGATCCTGCATCTGCATGGGAGACCTGGAGGAAGTTCCTGGCTCTTGGCTCTGGTTCGCCACAGCACCGGCTGTTGCGGCTACTTGGGGAGTGAATTAGGCAGATATACAGAGAGGAGGAGGGATAGAGAGGAAGACCTTCTGTCCGATGATTCACTCCGCAAGTGGCCGCAACTGCTGGTGCTGAGCCAAATTGAAGCCAGGAGCCTCTTCCGGGTCTCCCAAGCAGGTTCAGGAGACGAACCTTTGGGTCGTCCTCTTCACACAGGGCCCTGAGTGAAGCCATTTGTGTGTTCTCAGAAAGTATCCCTAGCTAAGCAGACACCCAGCCACAGAGCAGTTTCTGGAATGCCTGGGCTGATCTTGGGAGCCAAAGAGGAGACAAAAGGAGTTCTTATTTTCTCCCAAAGGCCATCAGCAGAGGGCTTCGACAGCCCCTGTTCTGCCATGCATGGTGGCAGGATGCCCAGCTCAGCCCCGGCTTCCTGAAAGGGTACAGAAGGCCGGGACATTTCCCCTCCCCCATCCTCTCTCCCTCTCCTCTTCCTTTTCTCCCCCTCATCTCCCCTCTGCCCTGCTCAGGGCCAGCAGGAGTGGTCTCGGAGGGTGTTCCCTGTGCAGCTAAAAGCCAAGAAGTAAGGGAGGTTGCAAGAGAAGCCTGGGGAGGAAGAACCCGGTGGCACCTGCTGGGATCAAACTCACTTTGCTGTCCTTGATTGAGGGCCTCCCCCTGGCTGAGTACTGGCCATGCTTTTGAGCACAGTACTCCCTCCTGCAGCTCCCTGGGGTTAAATCTTTATGCCACCCCCTACTTCATCAGGGGCTGGGGGTTGGCGTTCTGGCACAGAGGACAAAGCTGCTACCTGGGACGCCAGCATCCCATATCAGAGCTGCTCCCTTCTAATGCACCTGGGAAAGCAGCAGAGGATGGCCCGGGTACTTGTGCCTCTGCCACTCATGTGGGAGACCAGAATGGAGTTCCAGGCTTCTGCCTTTGGGCTGGCCCAGCCTCCCGGCTGCTGCGGTCATTTGGGAACTGCACCAATGGACGAAAAATCTGTCTCTGTCCTACTCTCTCCAGCAGCTGCCTTTTTGTTTCTTTTTTTGTTTGTTTGTTTTTAAGATTTATTTTTATTGCAAAGTCAGACATACAGAGAGGAGAGACAGAGAGGAAGGTCTTCCATCTGCTGATTCACTCCCCAAGTGGCCGCAATCACTGGAGCTGAGCCGAACCGAAGCCAGGAGCTAAAAACTTCTCTCGGGTCTCCCAAGTGCGTGCAGGGTCCCAAGGCTGTGTCTGGGCTGTCTTCCGTTGTTTTCCCAGGCCACAAGCAGGGAGCTGGGTGGGAAGTGGGGCCATCAGGGTACAAACCAGCACTCATAAGGGATGGCAGCACATACAAGGCAAGGATCTTAGTCACTAGGCTCTGTGCCAGGCAATCAATCTTAAAAAAAAAAAAGTTACAGCCAGAATGTGCTAAGTACTTGATGAGAATGGAAGGGGCACTGAATGTGTGTGTGTGTGTGTGTGCGTGTGTGTGCGCACGCATGCGTCTGCATAGGAGGAAGCACAGTCCATAAGGGGTCTAGTGTGATCCCTGATTTCTGGCGCCTCTGGGGGACTTGGAATGCACCCCTGGGAATTGGGGGTGGGGGGGGGCACCGTATTCTCTTCTTGATGCTCTGTGTCCACCTGCACTACAGCTCATTGAGGGGGCATAGCCAGATGACAGATCCAGGTCAGGGGTGGGATAGGGTCGGGACCCTGGCCTGGAGGGGCACAGAGACATGGGGCGACCTGCAGCTGAGACTTCAAAGCTGTGACCTTGGGCCCGGCGCGATGGCGCAGTGGTTGGGGTCCTCGCCTTGCACGTCCGGGATCCCATATGGGCGCCGGTTCTAATCCCGGTGGCCCCGCTTCCCATCCAGTTCCCTGCCTGTAGCCTGGGAAAGCCGTTGAGGATGGCCCAAAGCTTGGGACCCTGCACCCGCGTGGGAGACCCAGAAGAGGCTCCTGGCTTCGGATTGGCTCAGCTCCAGCCGTTGCGGTCGCCTGGGGAGTGAATCATCGGACGGAAGATCTTCCTCTCTGTCTCTCCTCTCTGTATATCTGCCTTTCCAATAAAAATAAAATAAATCTTAAAAAAAAAAATCTGTGACCTTGGGGAAATCACCTTCACGTGAGAGAGTTCTTGGCCAGTTCCAAGTCCATTGCCATTTCCCATACCCACCCACTTGGGAAGAAGTTTACCCAGTGCCCACAGCTGCCAAGGGCAAACTTCAACCCCACCAGAGGCTTGGATCCCTGGGGGAAGGTGAAGCCTGTGAAATGGAGAAGGCAGCCAACCAAGGCCATCTATCCCTCCCTCCTTCCTGGCCTGGCCAAGACTGGAGTCTGACAGTGCCCAAGATGGGCAGAGACTGGGCTGGGCTGTGGCATCTCTGAGTCACATGGAGGGAGGATGGAGGGTGACTCAGCCCCTGCCCACTTCCCCTCCTGCAAGGCCAGCCCGGGTGGAGGCTGGGACTAGAAAACCCCACGTCGCGGATCCTTGTAGGCCCTTGCCACCCAGGGCTCCAGCACGTTTTAGGTTTTATTTCTTATTTAAAAATTCAAACACACATATATACACACAACCATTTCCATCCTCTGATTCATGTCCCCAAATGCCTCAGACCGAGGCCAGGAGCTCCACCCAATTCTCTCAACTGACTTGAGCCATCATTACCTGAATGCCTCCCAGGGTCAGCATTCAGCAGGAAGCTGGAACAGGAGGTGGAGCCAGAGGCCCCATGTCTAGGCACTCTGCTATGGGGTGCAGGCGTCCCAGGCAATGCCCTAACAGCTGCATCCAGTGTGCAGCCCCCATTCCTTACCATGTTTAACAGGTGATCCCTGGGGGTGCGAGGGGTATAGCCAGGTGGGGAGAGGGCAAGAACACAAAGCTGAAGCCAGGTAAGCAGGCTGACGGGGGTGGGAGCCAGCGGCTCAGGAAGGCTGGTTAGCCCCAGATGTGGGGACACCTGACCCACCCACCAAGACCCTTCCTCCGTGACCTTCCCTTAATTAATCAATTAATTAATTTGGTGCTTGTTTATTTAACTTTTAGTATTGTTTACACAGTTGAGAGGGATGCATACCCATATGGGCCTCTGATTAGGGTGCTGAGATATGGAGAAAGGTGAGTGGACAAATGTTTTAGTTCTTTTTTTTTTCCATTCTTTATTGGGAAGTCAGATTTATAGAGAGGAGAGACAATGGTCTTCCATCCGTTGGTTCACTCCCCAAGTGGCCTGCAATGGCCTGAGCTGAGCTGATCCAAAGCCAGGAGCCAGGAGCTTCTTCTGGGTCTCCCACACAAGTGCAGGGTCCCAAGGCTTTGGGCCGTCCTCAACTGCTTTCCCAGGTCACAAGCAGGGAGCTAGATGAGAAGTGGAGCTGCCAGGATATGAATCAGTGCCTGTATGGGATCCCAGCACTTGCAAGGTGAGGACACTAACCATTAAGCCCCATGTTTTAATTTCTTTTGTCTTTTTTCTTTTTCCTGCTGTGCTTGCTGATTGGGGAGGGGACAGGTGCACTCCTTGCTGTCGAACTCCATCAACACTTGGGGATGGAGGATGGTCATTTAATGACAGCTTAGAGACCCTGATGTGGGGAAGACTGTTCAAAAGGTGTTCCTTGAGTGGTTTTGATAGTTCTGAGATACCATCAGCTTTGTTGCACCGGTGCTGGGGAAATCTTTCCAAGGTCTATTGGCTGACTGAGTCCACCTTAGTGCATTCACAGACGCAGACACTAGCTGCAAAGCTCGGCCGGGAGACTTGTCCAACCTGTTCTGCTTTCCATCTTCTGACAAGGCACTCAACAACGACGTCCTTGCTGGCCCAGATGAGCCGGCTGTCTTATCCCCTGTGTGCATCTGGCATGCTGTCCACTGAACAGGGATCAGCCACTAAGGAGGCCGAGTCCCAATAAGTGCTCTTCAAGGTCAGACCACGGATTTGATGGTTTTCCCTGTGGCCTGGGTTTGAGATCAATCAGCTAGTTGTGGAGTCTCCCAAGAAACCTTGCCTGGGTTGACCTCAGACTTGACTTCTGTGTGTGCCAGGCAGTGCACGGTCAGGTTCATTTCATCACCTGCATTGGCTAACGCACATACCAGTGGATGCAGCTGCTAGGTCAGTTCTACCCCCAGCCCCATCGCTCACACAAACCAACAGGTGCTGTGGCCTCATCCAGCCCAGCCCACCATACGCCCAGTCCTTACACTTATCAGCAAGTGCTTCTGGCCTTCTCTTGGAGAGTTGTATATTTGGGTTTGCTCACTCAGTCAGGAGTTTGACCATGAGAACAGGGGAGGTTGTGTGGGAACAGAGCACTGGCCAGAGGTTCCACACTCTCCATGTATGGGGATGTGATGGAAATTAATGAGGTTGAGCGGGAGGAGCCAAAGGGACGAGAAGCAAGACAGGAGCCTAGGGGTAGGTCCACAGGGGCCAGACCTCAAGGGCCTGTGGTCTGGGGTAGGAAGCTCTAACTTTCTAAATGAAAGCTCCCCCAGGGGGGCTGACATTTGGTGCAGTAGTGAGCCCACCATTGAGTGTGCCATTTCCCTACCATCCCAAGGCCCAGTTAAGAGTTCAGGCTCAACTCACAGCCTGAAAGGCAGCAGCGATGACGGAAGCACATGGGTACCTGCTGCCCATGTGGGAGACCTGGCTTTGAGCTCTGGCTTCAGGCTGACTGAAGCCCTGGCTGGGATTGGTATCTGGGGACTGAATTAACTAATGGAGAATCTTTCTCTGCCTTTCAAATAAATAAAAAACACTAGTAACAGCTCCAAAAACACAGATCCCTCTGGGCTCAGGGGCTGTGTGGAAGACAGCAGGGATGGAATAGAACAGGGAAGAAAAAGTGTGGCCTGGCTGGTGCAAGGATTGGGAGAATGGGTCTGGGCCAGGCGCCTGCAGGACCCGTGTTGGCTCAGGAAGCATGGCTTGATTCCTGCAGGGGTGATGTTCAGTGTTCCTTATATTCCCATGGCTCTCTCCCCTCCCTCAAAGGAATCACACAGGTGTCCAAGCAAAAATAGTTTATTTGAGGACGGAAGACCCAAAACTGGGGCGGAGGAGGCAGGGATGATGGGACCAGGGTAGCAGCTGCCTGGAGTTGGCACCAATGACCCCAACTCCCTAGGGAGGGTCCCTTCATTATCTCCCCTACTCAGGGAAGGATGGTGCAATCTCCCAGTGTCACCATCATCATCATTGTTGTCATAATACATGGAGGTTTATAAAGTCTGTCCAACAATTTTCAGCACAGTGGTTGACATTATCAGAATCACTCCTACAAAGCACAGTGACTGTGCCGGGTTGGGATTCCCACCATCCAGTGGTGAGCTAGGGGGTGGTCCGTGATGGGGCTGAGGCAGGCCGGCTGGGGGTGGGAGGCCTCCCTAGGAACTGGCCCCATTCTGGCTTCAAGGCAGCCCTTCCGGAAGGTGCCTCCTTGGCCTTTGCCATGGCCCCTAGCCAGGTTGAGTCCAAGGTGGGACTGTTCCAGGTCTCAAAGATCCTTGCCAGGCTCGTCCCTCTGCCTGAGTCTCCGGCGGGCCGCCCATGAGGCCACCAACTCACAGTTGTGGTAGAGGAACATTCCGGAAAGGGTAAACGCGACACCCACATAGCTGAGGGCACTGAGGCGGCTGCCAAACAGGAGCCGGGACAGGATGAGGTTGCCCACCACGGTGAGGTTGCCCAGGACGTGGACAGTGAGGGCAGAGGTGAGGGCCAGCAATGAGAAGCTGGCCAAGTTGTAGAGCACAGACAGGAAGCAGCTGAGCAGGATGCAAGCCCAGAGGCGGGAGTCAGAGGGACTGGGCAGCGGGGCCACCCCGGCCTCCAGCACCAGGGCAGCGCCAGCCAGCAGACAGAAGCTGGGCAACGAGGTGGCGTACAGCAGGGTCACCGCGTCGAGCCTCTCCTCTTGCAGCAAGGCACCTGGAACCAGGACAGAGGCCGTCAGCACCCAGGGTGGACATGACCCCTAACTCGGCCAGCCCGGTGTAGCCCCTAGTCAGAATGCATACACCTGCCACCTGTGTCCACTCCCGACTACCGGAAGAGCCTGGGCACTCATCTTCTGCAAGCCCGGGCTCACCTGCAATGTCAGATAATAGAAAATCTGACCCCATGGCCCAAATATAATTTACACAAAACCGTTATAAAGGCAACTGCTTGTCAACGATGAAAGAATATAAAGGGGCAGGCACTGTAGCCCAGCAGTCACGTTGTTATTTGGGGTGCTCACATCCCATGTCAGAGTGTCCGGGTTCAAGTCCCGGCTCGGCTTCTCATCCAGCTTCCTGCTCATGTGCACCCTGGGAGGCGGCAGGTGAGGGCTCGAGTCCGTCCACAGCGGAGACCCAGGGTGAGCTGCCGGCTCCTGGCATTGGTCCGGCCCAGTTCTGGACATCCGGGGAGTGAGGCAGCAGATGGAAGAGCTGCCTCTAGTTCTCTACTTGTCAAACAGAGAAAATCAACTAAGAGATCGAATTGAGCTTTAAAAAGACTTTGAAAACAGAACATGGGCCCTTGCACCCCAGGTGGGAGACCTGGTTAGAGTTCCGGCCTCTGGGCCTCAGCCTGGCCCGGCCCAGTGATGGCGGCCACTTGGCGGAATGAATGAGCAGATCAAAGATCTCTCTCTCAGCCAGTCAAACTAAAAAAAAAAAAAAAAAGTGGTTGGGTGAGGCAGGGTGGTTTGACGCAATGGTTCAGTTGGCTAACCCGCCACCTTGCAAGCACCGGGATACTTATGGGCACCAGTTCATATCCTGACTGCTCTGTTTCCCATCCAGCTCCCTGCCTGTGGCCTGGGAAAGCAGTCGAGGATGGGCCAAGTCCTTGGGACCCTGAATCTGCGTGGGAGATCTGGAAGAAGCTCCTGGCTCTTAGCTTCAGATTGGCTCAGCTCCAGCCATTGCAGCCACTTGAGGAGTGAACCAGTGGATGGAAGATCTTCCTTTGTCTCACCTTCTCTCTACAAAATCTATCTTTATAATAAAAATAAATCTTAAAAAAAAAAAAAAAGGATGTCTCTTCCCTCAGTTGATCCAGGCATCTGCATTTGACAACAGGGATGAGCCTAGACAGTGTAGACCCTGGGCTGTCAAGCCGTTCACTCCGAGAACCAGCACCATTTGTAACTGATCCTGGGGCTTGGGAAAAGGAGTCCAGAACTAAGAGAGAAAAGCTTCTAACTCTACAAAACAAAGAGGGGATCCTGCAGCCTTTCCCAGGCGCCCTGTGCACCTCCGTGCAGGTGCTACTGCTGGGCCGATTCTCCCCCACCCCACTGCGATGTGTGGCCAACATCACACAGCTCTGTGGTGGGGCGCGGTGAGGGTGGGAGAGTAACTGCATTTGTAACAGGCTGGGACCTTCTCCAAATGTTTGTGGAGAGAGATGAGTAATTGCTACAAGCCCCCCACCCTCCCCCAAGCCTCTCTTGACACAGACTTTCCGCAGGGGTCCACGGGTGCCTGCTCAGTGGAGGCATGTTTTGCTGGACGGTTGTCCAATGTGGTGGTGTGGTTCCCTAGGCAATAGCACCTCCCTCCCAAGCATTTCTAGGTTTGAGCAGATTGCTAGGGACACAGCTTCTCTGCCACCTGCTGCCTGGTTTGGTCCCAGCGCAGCAGCCCTGTGTAAGGCATCCCTTCCCTCCACACAGGAGCGCGTTTGGGGCTCCAGGGGAATGGCGCTATTGGGAAAGTTTGCCCTCAGCGAGGCTGAGCAACAAGAAGCTCCTAACACCAGCTCTCCTTCTCATCTATTCCCTTGCACCTGCTCTGACCCACCCACACGTCCCAGTCCCCTCCCCTGCCAGCTTGCTCTGTCTCCTCAAAGACCCTCCCTCCCCTGACAGCACCGCTAAACCCCCCAGGGTCAACCTCAACTTTTCTGAAAGCACTTTTATTTCTGCATTTGCACACACCCAAGCCTCAGCCACACTCAAGCAACAGCCCCTCCTCCCCCAAACCTTGCTTTCTCAAACTTGACTGGCTGGGTGATGTTGGGCAAGTCACCTCCCACCCCAGTGTCCTCGTGATGACATCATCCCCTCATGGGAGCACATACAGTACTGGACACACGGCCCACTTCTGGCATCCCATAAGGGCACCGGTTTCAGTCTCGGCTGCTCCACTTTCCTTCCGGCCCCCTGCTAATGTGCCTGGGAAAGCAGTGGAAGATGGCCCCAGTGCTTGGGTCCCTCCCCATCTGCTCCTGCTGGCTGGCACCCCATGATCTGGCATGGCCTGCTTCCCATTGCCTGAGGGCTTTTTCTTGCTCTGACAACCTGAAGAGCTGGGCACGGTGTGGGCACCTGGCAAGGCAAGGACCCAAGAAGCTGCTGCTCTGGTGACCGGAACTGTCAACAGCCTCACTGAGCACCTTTTCCCCTCCCTCCCCTACCTGCCGGGGAGGAAGGCACAACTTTCTCAGATCTCTCCAGAAAGCAGCAACTACAGCCCCTACCCATCACACCACACACGCACCTATGCCCATTGTGACCTTGAATGTCCCTCGTGGCATGGTGACCTCTGGGCATGTGGACAGGGATGGAGCCTGGCTGAGTGTGTTCCACAGGCTGGCACCCCACAGTTTCTCAGTCTTCCTGTATGTGCGTATGTGTGTGGGGGGTGGTATGGATGGGAAGGTGGCATGACCCCTCTCTCCCAGAAAACAAGAGGCCCAGGCAGCAGGGAGCTGCTGGCCCTGCCTTCAGGGCCTTCTCTGCCTCAAGCCTTCACCCTCAGCTCCCACGGCACCTGCTTTTAGGATCAGAGCTGGTGGCAGCCCTTCGCACTGTGGTCTGAATCTGGTCCCCGTGGGTGGCAAGGAAAAAATCTTCTCTTGTCTGTTCAAATCCTATCTGGGCCTCTAAAATCCAGCCTGTTTCTCCCCACCTTGGCTGGACGTACAGCTCTGTTAGTGGGGCCTCTGGGCTCCTAAGCTCCGTGTGTTGGCACTCTGTATTTCTGTAGCCTTCCAAAGGTGGCTGCCAAGGCCAGCAGTTAGTCCATCACACAAGGGGCATCTGCCTGGTCCAGGGGTCACAGAGAGATGCCCCTGAGCCTGTCCAGTGGGAAGTGGACTGGTAACCAACACCAGGACACCACGTGGGGAGCCTACACCTAGCCTGCCTGGGTTGGGGGAAGCGATGCAAGACCTGTCAGAGCAGGGGCTAGCTGGAGCAATGAAGCGGCCTGATGCTGGGCACATGTTACTCCATGTCCCAAGTGCCCGAAGCCTGGCTAGCCCCAGCCCCTCTGCAGGCAGGGGGGAGCGCTGAGGGCCTGGAGAGGAGCATGGGGCCTCGCAGCCGTGCCCAGGAGGGCACTGCAGGTTCAGGTTTCTCAGTGCTGACTCACACCCTGCCCTCGAGCTCCTCTGTCCCCAGCTCTCACGTAACCTGATGGCAAAAAATAGAACCGGGCCTTGACCCTGCCACAGCACCCAGGAGGACGGGGATAAGGCTGTTGGGTCGCCAGGGCAGGCCTGAGTTGGCCTCAAGGCTGCCAAGCCCACCACCACACTCTCATCCTCATGCCCACGCAAACCTGGGTCCCAGGATCTCAGAGCAAGAGGTTCCCAGGACTTCAAGCCTGCCCTGAGGAGGCAGGAGGGCCCAGTGGAGGTCTGAATGAACCCAAGTCTCACCCCAAGGGGGTGCCTTGGCCTCCTCTCCTCCGGGGCGGTGAGAGTGGGAACTGGGACTCTCACGTCCCCTTAGCCACACAGGTGGGAAGCCAACCCCCCTCTCCGCCGCCCCCCCCCCCCCCCCCGCGATTCCAAGCCCATCCTCTGGGGCTGAAGGGGCTGGTTACCATGACGACCCAAGGTCCACACCCAGCCAGCCCTGGGTGTCTAACCACACAGCCCCTTCTGGTCTGAATCAAGCTCTCTGGCTTTCTAAAGCCAGCTCCAGACCCTGCCCTCCTCTCCCCTCCCGTCCCAGCCTGGACCACCCTTCTAGAGCCACAACCTGACGTCCCACCCTAGGCATAGCTGCAGTCTGCAGGCCAGGGCTCAACTCCCTCCCGCCTCTGCTCCCGCCATGTGGCGTCAGGGCAAGCCCTTCACCTCCTAACACACAGGGACAATGGAGCAACTCCCTTGATTGATGGGGGTAGAGTAGGGAGTCCCAGTGACATACAGGGCTTTACAACACTGGGCAAGATCACTGGCACTTGTTAGGAAGTCTGCTTGGGTCCCTCGAGTCTAAATTTGAGTCCTGAGCTGTTGGGCCTCTCTCAGCCCCCAGTTTGTTCATCTGTAAAATGGGACAACGGTCACATCTCTCTCACGGCCATCAAGGCTACCACATCTACAGCCCACCTCCCACCATCAGTCACCCACAAGTCACACTCACTCTGCTGGACGGACTTGAGCCCCCGAAGACAGGTGGCAGCCAGCAGGAAGCCGCAGCCGGCAGGAGGTGCCTGGAATTCACCGGCCACACTGCAAGCAGCCCCCAGGCAGAGCGGACCCATAGCGGCAAACTGCAGCGGATGGTGGCGGCGGCCCAGCAGCAGCGCGGATAGGGCCATGGTGAACAGCGGAGTGGTCGTGGTGGCCAGCTGTGCCAGGTCCAAGGGCACGGCGCTCAGGCCCACGTTGCCACAGGCCATGGACGTGCCAAAGGTGAGGCTGAGCAGCAGCACGCGGCGCCGAGTGGCCCCTGGCACGGGACGCCGCGCGCGCCAGTGGCACACCAGCCCAGCGGCCAGCATGTGCAGTGCGGACAGTAACAAGGGCCGCCCGAAGCCGTGGACGGTGAAGATCCACTTGTTGAGGCTTGACATCGTGGCTCCAGCCAGCAGCCACACCAACGCGGCCATGACCACTCGGGCCCCACCAGGCCTCCCGGGGACCTGCGGGCTGCCAGGGGCCCATTCCGGAGGTCCGGCGGCCCGCGGAGAGGTGCTGGCCGCCGCAGCCGCAGCCACAGCCGCTGCCTCCGCTGCGGTCATCTTGCCTTCATGGTGCTCCAGCAAACAGCGGCACATCCGCACCAGAGGGGCTGGGGCGGGAGATGGCTCCCCGACGACCAGGTCTGGGACGCGGGAGCTTGGGTACTGGCCAGGTCCCGCTTCCCTGGGCTCTGTGCCCGTGTCTGGCAGGTGAGGGCACAGTTGCTCCTCGTGCCAGGCCTGGAGCAATGGAAATCGTTGGGGGATGCCAGGCACACTGGCGCCCCCCCCCCCCAAGCTCAGCTTGGTGAGGGCCGAAGCCCCTCCACGCGGAGGCTCTGGAATGGGATCTTCTTTCTTTAATCCGTCTTCTGTTCCACGCCGCTGGAGTCGGGGACAGAATAAGAAACCAGACCCTCTCCCCAGGACCTGCTGAGGGCTCGGGCCGTGGGGTCCAGGTCTCCGGACAAGCGGCGACCCAAGCTGTGCGCGGCGCCCGGGCGGTGCGGCTGACAGGCCGGCCTCCGTGCGCTCTGGGCGGTACCAGGCGGCGAGCTCAGCTCCAGCACGGCCTGCGCTCCGGCTGCTGCTGCTGCTGCTGCTGCTGCTGCTGCCGCCCCGGCGGCTGCGTCTCCTCTCCCGCCCCGGGCCCGGCGCTCCCGACCCCGCCTCCGCCGCCCGCGCGCCCCACCCGGAAAATGGGGCTCAGCCCCGGGTCCCGCCCCGCGCCGCCCGCTCGCCCCGCCCCGCCGGCCTGGTATTTTCCGTTCGGCTCCTCCTCCGCCCGCGCGCGCGCGCATCTGCACCCTAAAAAAGAAGCTCAGCCAGCTGGAATGATCGTCACCTCCGATTCCAGCGACCCCCCTCTTTATAGGACAACATGGGGTGCTGGAGACACGGGGTGTGCTTCAGTATTGCCTAACGACGGAGCGTCGGAGAAGAGCCTCCCCACCCCATCCCAGTCTCTGGCCACCATGATTTGCTGCAATCCCGGGGTCCCCAGCATCGCCCCTTCCCAGCCCAGGGCGGCGCCTCCTTTGAGCCCACAGAGGGGGCGATGAGTCATCAGGAGTGTCCACAGCCTGGCGGCAGCCCCTGTCCCCCACCCCAGACACTCAGAACTGACTCATAACTGGGTCTCCTGGGGTCCATCCCCTCCTTGTAGAGTGGACGCCAGAGCAGCCTCCGCCGGGCCCTCGTGCCCGTCCTGGAGAGCTCGAGGTCGAGTAAGTAGCACGCCCTGGAGCCGGCCGGGTCGACCCAGATTCCCGGCTCAGCTCTCCAGGCGCGCGCAGTCTGGCACAAAGTAGGGCCCCGCTTAGCCGGGCCTGCTGCGCCCTCTGGTGGCCATGCAGCGGAATAGCCTCAAGAGCACCCCTAGGTGAGGCTAGCATTTGTTGATGACCCGGACATACAATGCAGCGAGCGCAGAGGGAGGGATTTCCAGGCTAAGAGCTAAACTAAGGGAAAAATTTTTTAAATGGGATCATTTAGAAGACAGGTTGTAGAGGGAAGAGAAACTGAGCCAACCAAGAGGGAAGCCCAATCCCCAGTTTCTTAAAGGGGATCCCCCTATGGATAACATTTGGGGCAGGGAGGTCGGATTTTGTCAGCCTTCCAATATATTTCCTTCTTTCAAAGTGGATAACAATTTCTTTTTAAAATACACACACACACCAAAAAAAAAAAAAATCCTGGCTGGGAAGAAGAAAGATTGACCACACAGCACAGGAGGACTTTGCTGGCCTTGATGCGACAGTAAACCCCAGCCATGGACCTGCCCCAACTCTCAGCTGGGAGTTAGGGAGCGGGCTGAGAGGGGGTCCTTGACAGTCCCCTGCCTGCACCCTCTAGCCTGGCCCGAGCCCTGCCAGGGGCCTGTGAATCCTTGGGCCCATCAGCGGGGTCGGCAGGGCAGCAGAAAGTTCAGCTGGCAAGGGTCAGGCCCTGGGGTCTGTGGGGCTGAGGACGATGGCTCTACTGTGTGACCTGAGGTAAGCTGCTGACCTTTCTGAGTCTGCAGCCCTCATGGCAAACGAGGAAGACCAGATGACCAGCACGGAAGGGCACAGATACCAGGGGCAAGGACTGGCCTAGTGGCTGGGACAGCGATGTTCCCCATTGTACCACTTGGCTTGAGCACCTGCCTCTGGCACCGGACTCCAGCTTTCTGTACATATGGAGCCAGGGGGATGGGGGGGCAGCAGGAGTGGTGCAGGTCACTGGGTTCCTGTCGGCCAAGGAGAGCGGTGGGGGTGGACATGGCCTGAGCTCCTGGCTCCCAGCTTCAGCCAGGACTGGGGCCTGAACCCTTGCAGGTGTTTGGGGAGCGAACCAGCAGACTCTGAAGCTCTCTCTCTTTTTCTCTACCACATGGAGTTAAGCCACCAGATAAACATGTATAATGGGGGTTTTCAAAATGCCCATAGAACATGCATATTTCACAAAAACTATACATGGATTTCAAAATTCCTTGCACCAAAATAAACTTATATTTTCATACCATGTTTCCATGAACTGTTTGAAGCCCCTCCTAGTTGGTTTCTTGGAACTTTCGTTTTATTTATGTATTTATTTATTAAATTATTTATTTTTGCTGGAAAGGCAGATTTCCAGAGAGAAGGAGAGACATAGGGAAAGATCTTTCATCCTCTGGTTCACTCCTCAAATGGACACAACAGCTGGAGCTGAGCTGATCTAAAGCCAGGAACCAGGAGCTTCTTCTGGGTCTCCCATGCAGGTGCGACGCAGGGTCTCAAGGCTTGGGGCCATCATTGACTGCTTTCCCAGGCCACAAGCAGGGAGCTGGATGGGAAGCAGAGCAGCTGGGACATGAACCAGAATCCATATGGGATGCCAGCAGGTGGAGGTAGGGGATTAAGCAGTTGAACCAATGTACCGGTCCCCATCGTATTTTTTCAGGTGTATGTTCGCCTCCTCCTCCCCCTGCCAGCCCAGGCCTCTGCATTGGGAGCTGGCACTCCAGGAGCAGGCACATGCCTGTATACCTCACTACTAAGGCACATGGACCCCACACCTCACATGTCATCATGCATCAGGACCCCTCGGACCACAGACCATCTTCCCAGCCCCAGTGGGGAGCTCACTTCCCTGGGCCTCACCCCACTTCTGGGGTTGTGGGGGTAGCCCAGAGCTCCAGATTCCTCAGTGAGAGGCAGCGTCTCCACCTGCTAAGTCCCGGCTAATGCCCAGCCAATGCCCTGGGAAGCAGCAGGGAGATCCTCCCCTAGGGCCCTGGGGCTCTGCTGTGTCATCACAGAACCCCAATTTCCAAAGTTTGAGTAGAGGCACCAACAGGGCATCTTCCCCCAGCCAGGTCTGTCTGTTAAGCCAGAACCACTGCCCACCAGATACTGTGTCCCACCCCTCCCCTCCTCCGGCAGTATGGCCTGGCAGGTGCCACCACAGCCAGCCTCACTCCCTCTAGACCCAGGAGAGAATGTTCTGGCACCTTCCTTTCCTCCCCAGAACGGAGGACTCTGGGCTGCTGGAGCAGCAGGAAGGGGCACCAGGGCGCCACAGCAGGTACAGATAATCAATGCTTTAATCATTTCCAAGGTGGGCATGGAGCATAGCCAACTGCCATGCCACGGCCAGCTCAGGGGCTGCCACTCTGGATGGCTGAGCGCAGGGCTGGGGTGAGAGCGGCCCTTATGACACCAGGAGTCGCCATACTTCATATTCCGGAGGATGCAGGAGTCATCCCTCACATCCCAGCGGGGTCTTCACCTGGGCCAGACCTGGGCCGACAGATGTCCTGGGGAAAATGCTTGGCTTCCTGCTCTGGGTGAGGCTTTGGCTCAGATCTTTGCTGGGGTGGTGGCCGGGGTGGGGGACAATTCTCCAAGTGGAACACGAAGTGGTTGGCAAGATCAGGTCCTGTGCGAAGGAACCTCAGACACGGAGGTCTCAGGCCGGCAGACACGGAGCCCCAGGAGCAAGCAAGGTGGCTGCGGGAGGCAGCCTCGAGCCTACCAGCTCACCAGCCTCAGCTCGATGGTCTCCCCATCCTTGGGTTTGTAGTCTGCGATGCCTGCAGAAGCAAAGCCGGGGAGAGGAGGGTTACCATCGCACTTAGCAGAGCCCAGCCTCCATGTCCTGAAGCCAGGGAGGTGGGGGCTGTGGTTTTCATTTAGTTGAGACACAGCCTGAGCCAGAGAGAAATTTTCCATCTGCTGGCTTAATCACCAAATGACCACCAGAGCTGAGGCAAGGCCAGGCTCAGAAACCAGGATCTGGTGACTCCATCTGGGCCTCCCATAACAGCCAGAGCTGAGCCGATCTGAAGCCAGGAGCCAAGAGTTTCTTCCAGGTCTCCCTTGTGGGTACAGGGTCCCAAGGCTTTGGACCATCCTTGAGTGCTTTCCTAGGCCACAGGCAGGGAGTTAGATGGGAAGTGGAGCAGCTGGGATATGAACTGGCACCCACATGGGATCCTGGCGCATGCAAGGTGGCGACTTTAGCCATTAGGCTACCGTGTCAGACTCCAAAATTCCACTTTTTTTTTAAAGCACATAAAAATGTTACTAATAGTTTGACAAGAACTAAACTTGTAGATGTAGGGCCCAGCGTGATAGCCTAGTGGCTATAGTCCTTGCCTTGAACGTGCCAGGATCCCATATAGGCACTGGTTCTAATCCTGGTGGCTCCACTTCCCATCCAGCTCCCTGTTGGGGCCTGGGAAAGCAGTCAAGGACAGAGGGCCCCAAGTCCTGGGACCCTGCACCCACATGGGAGAGCCGGAAAAGGCTCCTGGTTCCTGGCTTTCGGTTGGTTCAGCTCCAGCCATTGTGGCCACTTGGGGAGTGAACCATCGGACAGAAGATCTTCCTCTCTGTTTCTCCTCCTCTTTGTATATCTGATTTTGCAATAAAAATAAGTAATTCTTTAAAAAATGTAGCTGTATGAAGTTACAAAGATACATTGTTAATATTGGTTTCACTGACTAGAAGATTTTCAATTATGTATGTGGCTGACTCTCCCTTCCTGTTGATACCGAGTATAGTCCTAGGGCCAGCACAGTGGCTCACAGCTTAACCCTCCCCCTTGAGTTCCAGCATCCTATATGGCCACGGGTTCAGGTCCCAGCTGCCCACTTCTTGTCCAGATCCTTTCTTACAGCCTAAGAAAGCAGCAGAGGATGGCTCGGTTCCTTGGGATCCTGTACCCACATGGGTGACTCAGAAGAAGCTTCTGGCTCCTGGCTCAACTCTGGCCACTGTAGCCGGGGAGAGCATATAAACCAGTAGATGGAAGATATTTCTTTCCATAAATCTGCCTTTCCAATAAAAACAATAAATAAATTTTTTTTAAAGTATAGTGTGGAGCCCTTTCATATTAAAAAAGTATAACATATTCTAGAAGAAAATGAAATTATTTCTAGGTCATGAATTACAGGTCATTTTCTCTCTTCATTCTATCCAACTTTCTAGAATTTCCATACTTGCTTCTTTGAAAGAATCTAAGCATTCAGTGAAATTAATGACAGCCACCCCTGAGCATCATTGTGATTTTTAGCTGGAAGGTGCTGGGGAGAGCTGGGCTGAGGCGGGTCAGGGCTGGCGGAGGTTTGGGAGTGGCCCCCTATTTACCTTGCAGCAGGGGAGTGTCTGGGGCTCGGAGAAGCTGCCAGAACTCCCGGGGTCCAGCCACTTTCCCCATCACGGAAGTCAGGTAGGGACCCGACAGAGTGGTCTGAGTTTCGTACCTACAGAAGAGGGAGGTGAAGAGAGAAGGTAGGTGACTGCTGTCCCCAGAGTAGGGGGGGTCCATGGACCCTGCCAAAAAAAAAAAAAAAGGCCTGGCCCTCACTGGCTGTGGGGTCTGTTCCCTGGGAACTCCAGCCAAGGCCATGAACAGCAGTGCCACCTGCCAGGGAAGAAACTAGTGGGCCCAGGGGCAGGCACTCAGCTGTCCAGGCTGTGTTTCCCATTGGCAACATGGGACTCGCATTCCTCTCAGGTGGGGGTGGTGGTCAGGGCCCTAGCAGGGGGCAGTGCTCCAGGTCCACTGATCCCCATACGAGAGCCTGGGCTGAGATGGCAAGTTTAAGGTCATTGTCCAAGCCCTTCCAAGTTGTTAAGAGCAGGATCATGCCAGGATACTGACCCTGACGATTGTGATCCTTAGGAAAGCTGACCTGGGGTGGAGCCCCCCACAACTGCCTTGTACCTCTACAAAGCCCGTGCCACCACCTGCATGTGCACTGGGCACACTGAACCCCCCAAGCCTGTCCACTTGGTGACAGCTGGCCCACAGTTCTGCATGGACAAGACAGGGGTGCAGGACGCAGAAATGGACAATTGTCTCTGCCAGGGAAGCCCTGTCTTCCTCCCACCCCACCCCATCCCTTCCTCTGCCTTAAGCATGTGGGGTCCAGGGGGAGGTAGGGAAGGGTGTCTCACGTGAATCCTCCAAATTCATGGGCCCACTTCAGGATCTCTTCCAAGGAAAACCCCGAGATGGCAAAGAGGGATCGCTCATACGGTGGTGTGACGCTGGGGACCTTCAGCGTGACGGTGATAACCTCTGGGAGCTCGCTCAGGGAAGGGGCCTCGCTGGCTGGAACCAACATGGCTGCAGCAGGGGCACAGGGCAGACAGGTTTGGGTGAGGCCAGCCAAGATGGCTGGATGTCCTTCTCTTTCCCTCTGGGCCTTGCTTCCCACAGGTCCTCAGCTCAGGCAAAGCCACCACCATCTGCTGGGCTGAAGTCTGAGGCCAACCCGGCTACCCTGTCCCTCACTCCCCTGTGCTCAGTTCTCAGTACCACCTGCCCCTGACTGTCCCAACTCAGGGCCTTCACTGATTTTTCTATTCCCAGGGTCCCCTGTCTGCCACACAGCACCAAAGAAGGTTGCTCTAGAACATGTGTTTGTCCAGCACTGCCCTGTTACCTCTGAGGGTCTCCTTGCCATCTATCTGCCACCACTCGGGCTTACTCCCCAGACCCTAATCTTTTACAAGACTATTCTCTCAGCACCTTTCACTCATCTTTTCAAGTCCTTCTTTTGGACATGACTATGATTCAAGCCCTGATCACAGCTGTATCAGATGTGTCTTTCCCCATTTACTCACCCATCCATCTATCCATTCATCCACTCATCCATGTATCTATCCATCCATCCATTCACTCATCCCTCTACCTTTCCAACCATCTAACGTCCATCCATCATTCACTCATCCATGAATCCATCCATCCATCCATTTGTCCATTTACCCATCAACCTATCACCCATCCATCCATCCATTCACTCATCCTGCCCATTCATCCATCGATCCATTCATCCACTCAAACATTCCTGTTCTTGGGGTCACATGAGGGACCTGACCAGATTGCTCCATCTATAGTATCTTCCTCCACAACTATGAGCTTCTAGAACCCCAGCTGCCATGTCCCACACAACACCCACAACCTCACACTGACTCAGCAAATCAAACCAAGTGACATCCCCTCATTGGGACCTTCAGGTGTCTACAGGTGCTCAATAAATGATAAACTGCTGCTCAGCTACCTCTTGGTGCCTGGCAGTCTGGGAAGATGAGATCCAGGTAGGTCTTGTGGTTCAGGACTGGCAACAGCTGGGAGATCACCAGAGCATTCTGGAAGGCTCCGTCCTGTAGACTGGCCAACAGAGCAGCCCGGGCCTTGGTGCATGCTGTGCCCAGATGTACCCCAGGTGCAGGAGAGGCCATCAGTAGCTGGAAACAGAGTAAGAAAGACAGAGAGGAAGCAGACCAGCTGGTGGGCACAGCCAGGTCCCCCAGCCCCTGTTCAGTCTACTCCCTGCTGACCCCAAGATGGATGTGGCTTCAAGAGCCTCCTCCTACCTGCAGTGCTAGTGGGGTGCTGTAGACATTCCCGAAATGACCCTCGGGGGTCTGGGCCATCAAGATTTTCTCCCGCACTGTGCCGATGGCTGTGGTAATCCGTGTTCTCTGGTCCGGGTTGAAGTTGAAGCGTTCCAGGCAGGTGAAGGCCAAGCCTGCCATGGCCATTGTATCTGCAGGGGACAGGACCCATGATGAGCTGAACAGCCTCTAGGGCCAGGCCGAGCAGGGCCTTAAGGCTCAGCCACAGAAGAACTGTTGAAGGGAGACAATGTGATCAGATCAGCCAGGCATACCAACTCAGCCTGCTTGGTCCAGAATCTTCCCAGTATGACCACTCCAAGGTTTTGTCCAGGGAAGCCCTGAGTCCCCAGAGGACTGATCTGGGTGCTCACGCTACTCCCTGGGGACTAGAGGTTAAGGAGGGCGGCTGCGGGAGGAAGGTCTGAGAGCCCTGGATCCTTCACTGCTTGTTCCCAAACATGGCTCCCCACTGCATTCTCCTGGGGAGTTCTAGGCCAAGAAGAGCCTGGGTTTGTCCCAGGCTAGCTAGTCTGATTTGATTGGCAGGGAGAAATGTTGGGACTCTGGAAACTTGTAAGCCTTTCTCCCTCCTCAAGGTTTTTATTTTTAAAGATTTATTTATTTGAAAGGAACAATGACACACAGAGAGAGAATCTTCTATCCACTGGTTTACTCCCCAAAGGGCCACAATAGGCAAAGCTGGTCCAGGCAGAACCAGGAGCCAAATGCTCCTTCTAGGTCCCCCATGTGGAAGGCAGGGTTTCCCAGGCACATTAACAGGGAGCTAGAGCAGAAGTAGAACATTCAGGACTCAAGTTGGCACTTATCTGGGAGGTTGGCATCACAGACAGTGGCTTAATCCCTGAGCCACAGTACCAGCCTCTGTAGATGGCTTCAACACATCCACAGCCTCTACGTTTGCAAGCCTTACAAGCTCTCTGCTGCAGGGGCCCTACCTCTGCCTTCTTCTTCAAGATTTAGTTATTTTTATTGGACAGGCAGTGGACAGGCAGATTTACAGAAAAAAGGCAGAGACAGAAAAAGATCTTCCATTTGCTGGTTTGGTCCCCAAGTAGCCACAATGACCAGAGCTGAGCTGATCTAAAGCCAGGAGCCAGGAGCCAGGAACTCTCCCGAGTCTCCCATGTGGGTACAGGATCCCAAGACTTTGGGTCATGCTTGACTGCTTTCCCAGGCCACAAGCAGGGAGCTGGATGGGAAGTGGAGCAGCGGGGTTATGCACTAGTGCTCATATGGGATCCTGGCGCATGTAAGGCACGGATTGAGTCACTAGGCCACCATGCCCGGCTCCCTGCTGCCTTCTTTTCTCTGAGCACTGGCTCCATCTTACCCCAAGACTAACCTCCCCCACACACCGCACATGAACATCAGGCCTGGGAGAGACTTTGAATTGCAGTGATCAAAGATGGAGCTAGAGGCTCAAGGTCACACAGGCAGGAGGCAGGTTCAGAACCCAGGTTTGGGGCTCCCCAACTTTGTGTGACAACAAGATCACAGCACACAGCGTGTTCTCCATTTGAGCATCCTGGGGAGCCCCTTGGCTGCAAGGCCCCTTTTATGGAGATGCTCCTGGGAGGTAACGGAGCTCTGGTCAGGATCTCAGCCCAGCATCTCTGCCACACATGAAGCTCCTCACTCACCCCTGTGTTAACCCATGGTGGCATTCCCAAGGAAAGCTGACCGTGCAGCCAGCACATGGAGCCCCTCAGCTGAGGCTGGGGGCCGAGTGAGGAGGCCCAGTGGGACTCAGCAGAACCTGGCCGCACTCACCTACAGAGAAGTGGCCCTGCTGGAAGAGCTGGTCATGTTCCACGGCATATAGGAGCTTGCCCACCACATAGTCAGGGACCCGTTTCTGGTGGAGGCACAGTGCCAGGATGCTGAGGCCGTACTGATAGTAGCTGGTGTAGGGGTGGCCCTTGTGGTCGTGTCCTGCGAGGGAGGAAAGTGAAGAAGTATGAAGCATCATGCTGGGCCGGAGGAGTTGCCCTTCTGCCCTGTCCCATCAGCACATAGGACGCCCCTGTCTCCCTGCACCCCAACAACCTGCACCTCCCACCTTCCCCCTCCTGGGGGCCTGGGATCCTTCATCATCTCCACCTGTACTTGCTGAGGTCCCACTGTAAGTCAGGGTAGGGGGGCTCAGACGAAAGAAGAGGTGACAACAAGCAGGTGCAGGTGAGGGCTGTGACTATGACCTGACTGCTGCTCACGAGAGCGTGACTGTCACTGAGCTGTGGGCCCGGCGTCCACGGGGCCATGGGACAGAAGAAGCCTTTGAGACTGGACAGTCAGGGCGGGAGTGCCAAGCAAGTGATGCTCGGGGTGGAGATGTAACTTGGGAGCCACGAGGAGGCCCGTGTGGTCAGAGCCTACAGAGGCAGGTGAGGAGGGGTGAACGGAGCAGAGTCTGGGAGAGGAAAACAGGCCAAGAGGCCAGGCCTGAGAGCAGTGCATGGAGTCGTAACGGGCTCCTTGCAGGGCGACACAACATGAACAAGATAGACGCCTGCTGAACGGGCTGGCTCTGGGTCAAGTTAGCAGAGAAAGATGGAAGAGCTGGTTAAGAAGGAGGCTGTGCAGTTATCTCAGAAGGCAGGGTCATGGCAGCCAAGTATCAGGACTTGCCAACAGAATGTCACATGTGGGGTTCAGGAAATGCTGGATCAAGCAGCAGCCTCTCCTTGGCAGCAGGGGAGATGGACAGAATGGAGGGTGGGAAGGAGGCCATCTCCAGTCCCCCAGCTCCCCTACCCTGACAGAAGGGGTCTCCTCACCTATGGCTTTCCTCTCTTCCTCCAGGAACCGCTTGAGCCGTGACACCAGCCTGTCCTCCTTGTGGCCCTCTGCCAACCTGCAGTTGGCTCTGAGGGCAAGCAGGTAGAGGGCCAGTTGGCCCATGGACACCTGGGACTGGCAGTTACTGGCACTGTCGCTGGAGGTAGACCTAGGACAAAGCCAGGGAACAACACTTTCATGAGCTTAGCCAGGGACACGCCCAACAAGATCGCAAGTGGAAAAAGCTCTAACACGCATATGGATGAAAGAGGAAACTTGGGCATAAGCTCGGAGGCCTCCTGGATCTACATCATCTGTGCCTTCCCCATCCTTTTGGCCAAGCATCACCCACGTGGGCATCCACGTCTTGAGACAGAACCCATGGCTGGTTCCTCATTCCTCCAGAATGGATCTGTCCTTAGTGACCCCCTAGAAAGTGAGCACAGAGCTTCTAGCTTCTTCTTCTAGCTTCTTCTTGCTTCTAGCCTCAGGATAGAAAAAGAAAGAAAAAAAGAAAATGCTGTAATGGATTAGTAATGTCTGTCGAGGGCGAGAACAGAACCAGGTGTTGCTGGGCTCAGTGGGAGAGACTGCAGTCACAGATTAGTGATGTCTGCCTCAGGCACAGGACAGGTACAAGGCGCTGTGTTAACATCTAGGATCTATTGCAACCAACTCCTTCATTCTACAGATAGAGAAAGGCCCAGAGGAGACAAAACTTGCCTGGGGTCTGCTAACAAAGCAGCGCAAGGCCCAAACCGGAACCCAGGCTTCCTTGCTGTTAGGAAACGGGGGCAGGCACAGGGAGAGAAGAGAGAATTACCCTGAGAAGCACTGCTGGTACTTGAGCTTGAGGTTGTGCAGGTAGAAGTCTTCCTTGGACCCAGCCTGCAGACTGGAAAGACGTAAACCTACGTAGATGCTGGGGTTCAAGTCCTCCGGGGAGAGCCGGTCCATCCACGGTAGGAGGTGCTGGCCCAGCTTCTCCACTAGCTGGCTGTCCAATCTTGTTATCTCTGAGTGGACGGGGGAAGGCAAAGAAGAGATCAACAGGGGATTCCAGGCTGCCAGCAAGGAACCACTTCACCTGTATCAGGGCATTCCCAACTTCCGCCCAGCACATGCCCCGCTGGAAGGCAGGGGACGAAAGGGGAAGTGAGGGGCCAGCACAATGGCGCAACTGGCTAACCCTCTACCTGCAAGCACCAGCAGCCGATATGGGCTCTGGTTCATGTCTCCACTTCCCATACAGCTTTCCACTAATGGCCTGGGAAAAGCAAAGAAGATGCCCTAAGTGTCTGGGCCCCTAGCACTCACGTGGGAGACACTAAAGAATTTCCTGGCTCTTGCCCTGGGCCTGGACCTGGTCCAACTCTGGCCATGGCAGCCATCTGGGGTAATGAACCAACAGATGGAAGCTCGCTCTCTCTCTCTCTCTCTCTCTCTCTCTCTCTCTCTCTTTGGCTAACTCTTTCTCAATGAATAAATCTGACAAAGGAAAAAGAAAAAAAAGGTAGATCAGGAAGAGATTGTGGCAGGGATCAGAGAATGCTGTTGCCTGGCAACCACTCCATCCATCAGCAGTGACAGTGAGAGCAGAGGTGTGCAGGAGGCCCCAGACACCATGCCTGATCCCACAGCAGCCTTGTAGTGTAGATATGTCCTTACCTCTTCTCATAAAAGAGGAGACAGAACTTTAGACCCTATACACTGCCTGGCTCATCAGAGCTTCCCCCTGTGTAAACCTCAAAATCATGCTTGGGCCCAGCGCGGTAGCCTAGCAGCTAAAGACCTCGCTTTGCACATGCTGGGATCTCATATAGGTGCTGATTCTAACCTCGGCAGCCACCCTTGCCATCCAGCTCCCTGCTTGTGGCCCGGGAAAGCAGTCAAGCACAAACCAAACCTTGGGACCCTGCACCCATGTGGGAGACCTGGAAGAAGCTCCTGGCTTCGGATTGGCACAGCTCCAGCTGTTACAGCCACTTGGGGAGTGAATCATTGATTTGAAGATCTTTCTGTCTCTCCTTTCTGTAAATCTGGCTTTCTAATAAAAATAAATAAATCTTAAAAAAAAATCATGCTCTTGGGGTAGCATGTTAAAACTCAGCCTATAACATCGATAATCCTATACAGGCACTGGTTCATCCCAGTTGCTCCACTTCCCGTCCAGCTCCTTGCTAATACACCTGCAAAAGCAGTGGAAGAAGGTCCAAGTGCTTTGGCCCCTGCACACACCTGGGAGACCCAGAAGAAGCTCCTGGCTCCTGGCTTTGAACTGGCTCAGCTCCAGCCATTGTGGCCATTTGGGGAGTGAACCAACCGATGAAACAGCTCTCTTTCTGTCTCCTCTAACCTCCTCTCTATAACTCTGTTTTTCAAACATGCTATGTACTTTGTTCCCCTCTCCATTCGAGGGAAGGGGAAGTGAGCTTCCTCCCTTGGGGAAAGGACTTAGGTTCAACGGAGCGGCCAGAGTGGGCGAGTGGACTTCAGAAACTCTGACCTTTCAGACTCAGTGCTGCCACCTCCTGGCTGTGGGCTGCTCTACCTGACTGTGGTGTCCACCTGGCCACGCCTTGACTGGCTGGCTGGGCACTCCAAGCAGAATGAAGAAAATAAAGGGTTTTTTTGGGCAACCTGTTGGTAGGACCTGGGTTGGTAGAACACAGTGCCACCTCTCCATCTATGTGGGTTCCGCTTCCTCATGCCGGTTCTCCCCAAAGCCCGAGCTGACTGCAACTGGGAGGTGCCTCTACATCCCACTGGGAAAAGCCTGAAACAATTCTTTGCTGTGTGGGTGGGCCCAGGCCACAGCACAGCACGTTGCTGCTTTCTCATCAACTGTTCATTCGGAGAATCAGAGCACAGGGCTACTTTTCTGTTCTCTTCCTCACAATCTTTACTTGGTTGTTTCTCAGATATTTTTATTTATTTATCTGAAGATAAGAGCTACACAGAAAGCGGTTGAGACAGATCTTCCACCCACTGGTTTACCCCCCAGATGTCGGTAACTGACAAGACTCGGCCAGGCCAAAGCCAGGAGCCCAGACCTTCTTCCAGATCTCCCACACATGGGTGTCGTGTCCCAAGACTCTGGCCATTCTTCCACTGTCTTCCTAGGCCATTAGGAGGGAGCTGGATCAGAAGTGGAACAGTTAGGTCTCGAACCAGCACCCACATGGGCAGCTAGCACTGCAGGTGTTAGCTTTACTTGCTATGCCACAACACTAGCATACACACCTTTACTTTTTTTTTTCTATTTATTTTCACACACATATACTTTTAAAAATTTGGGCTGATGTTGTGGTACAGCATGTTAAAAGCCCTACCTGTGACACCTGCATCCCATAAGAGCACTGGTTCAGGTCCAGCCTGTTTCATTTCTGCTCCAGCTCCCTTCTAATCCAAATGGGAAGACAACAGAAAATGGCCTACGTACCCATGCCCCTGCCATTCAAGTGGGAGAGTTTGAATGGAGTCCCAGGCTCCTGGCCTGTGCTAGCTGTTACAGCAGGTGGAAGATCTCTCTCTCTCCTTCTCATATACCTACATATACACACACACACATATGTAACTCAGTGAAATAAATAGTTTTAAAGATTTTTTTAATTTTTCAATTGGAAGGGCAGATATATGGAGAGAAGGATAGAGGAAGATCTTCCATCCGCTGATTCACTCCCCAAGTGGCCACAACGGGACCGGAGCTGAGCTGATCCGAAGCCAGAAGCCAGGAGTTTCTTCTAGGTCTCCCACACAGGTGCAGGGTCCCAAAGCTCTGGTTTGTCCTCCACTGCTTTCCCAGGCCACAAGCAGGGAGCTGGATGGGAAGCGGAGTAGCTGGGACATGAACTGGCGGCCATATGGGATCCCGGTGCATGCAAGGCGAGGACTTTAGCCACTAGGCTACTGTGCCAGGCCATAAATATATATGTAAATATATATAATATATAAATATATATTATATAAATTATAATTACATGAATTATATATTATATATAAATATATATTAAATGCCAAAATGGCTCAATGGCTAAATCCTTACCTTGTAAGCCCTGTGATCTTATAATATGGGTGCTGGTCTCAAGCCCAAAGCCTCGGGACCCTGTACCTACATGGAGACCTAGAAGAAAGCTCCTTGCCTCTGGCTGCTGGCTCACCTCTGGCTGCTGGCTCACCTCTGGCTCTTGTAGCCATTTGAATGTGAGAGAGAGTTTTCCATGCACTGGTCCACTCCCTGAATGCTTTCAACATTCAGGGCAGGGCCAGGTCAAAGCTAGGAGTGACGACTTCCAATCCAGGACTCCCATGTGAGAGGCAGGGGCCCAAGGACTGGAGCCATCTCTCGCAGCCTTCCCAGGTATATGGGCAGGGAGCTGGATGCCAAGTGGAGTAGCCAGGACCTGAACTGGCACTCTGACATGGAATACAGATGCTGCAAGTGGTAGCTTAATGTGCTACACCGCAGCATGTCTCCTCCCTACCTCCGCCCCCACCTCTATGTCTCTCTCTGTTCTCTGGGCCTGTCTCAGCCTCTCTGTCTCTCCTTGCCACCTGTTACTCCCCTCCCCTTTTTCTTGGAGCTTTCACTGCACGGGCTCTGACCTGCAGCATACAGCCCTGATGAGTCAGCCGGACTTGGTGATAAGAGGAGAGAAGTCAGCTGTAAGGGGAGGTTGATGATGGCAATCCGGTCTCTATAGAAGGAAAAAGCCGGGAAGGTTCTCCCAGGGTAACAAGAATGACCTCGGATAAATTCAGCACTGCCAGCTGGGGAAGGACTGGCCATTGATATGTCCATTCCCAGGAGCCTGAGTGCCACACTCCCTGTGGGCAACAGAAGCACATAGAGCTTCCAGCTGTGGAGTCAAGAGCCAGGGCCCTTGGGTAAAAGCCACAGCACAGAACCAAGGCAGGGGAACGCCCTTAGCCCATATTGTAGGGGTCAGCCAGAAGGAAAGCTCCAGCTGGCGGAGCCCAAGTCTCCCCTGGAGATCTCCTAAACAGGATCCAACGGCTTATGGAACGTATGTTCAGGGCTGCTTAAAGCCCAGGGGACAGCCTGGCCTGGGGTTCCAGAGGGTTTCCAAGATGGCCAGTGCACCTAGAACAGACCACTTGGCCCTTTAAACTTCTGGCTTCCTCATCCACGCAAACATGACAGTGCCTGCCTCTTGGGGCTCCTCTGGGACCCGCAGGAACTGTGGGCTGTGGCTGGGCACACAGAAGGAAGATGGGTGGGCGGCGGTGGCATCCTGAGGCCGTGGTGCACAAGCGGGCCTTGCCTGCATACTCCGACCTACAGACAGGTCTGGAGAGGCCTCAGGAATCCCCAGCGGGCCCCTGGGCGCAGCCTTCCAACCACTCCCTCCTCCTGCCTGCCTGGAATGCTTGTCCCCCCTCCTCTCCTCCCCTAGGGCCTCCTGGTCCCCTCCCTCCATCACGACCCCTGTGCCACTCACCTTGGCCCTGGTGGTCCCTTGATTTCTTCTGCTCCTCCCCTTTCCCTAGAACCCAGCTTCTAGTAAGGCAGTGATGAGACCTGTCCTGCTGACTTGCCTATCCGTGGAGGAGGCTTAATTATTGAGTGATGGGTGAACGGGATAATTAATAGAGGAGTAAGGAATACAATCAAATCTCAATAAAACATCCTAAACACTGGAGGTCCCGTTAAACCCAAACCGCTGTGGGAGGCCACACAGAGGGACAGAGAGGCCCCTGTCCATTCCGGAACCTCAGGTGCCCCAAATATACAACCCAGACAAGACAGTTCTCCTTGTTAAAGAACCCAAGGGGAAAGAGGTGTGGAATGGAGGGGGATTACTCACCACAGATCTCAGCCTGAGCCCCCAGGGCTCCCAATAGGAAGAGGAGAAGCCCTAGGCGCCCCATGGCAGGTGTAGGAGGTTGAGTGGCAGGCCAGCAGGCAGGCGGATGGCCAGCGTTCCTGACCACCGTTCCAACGGAGGCAGCGTCCAGTCACTGATTAATCTCTCCACGCCCCACAGCGTGCTGCTAAGTCAGCAAAGAGAAAGAGGAAAAGGGCTTTGGGGTTGAGGGAGAAAGCCAAAACACAGAGGAAGGAAGGAAGGGCAGAACGGGTTTCTTCAGAAGTGTGAGAAAAGGGAAGGCAGGGAGGGACCAGCCTGAGGTCAGCCACGTTCTTGTCCCCCAGCTGCTTAAAGAGCCCGGGGCCAGTGCTCAGAAACTTGTTTGATCTGCCCAAGTCAGTCGGCCACGCCTGCCCGGTGTCTGCACCCCGCCCCGAGCTGTTTCAGTGGTAGAGCAGCAGGCAGGGGGTGCCCACCCGGTGTCCCTCCTAGAAGCAGCCGTGTGAAGCGCCCACCCTGATCAGGGACTAGAAACTGAGCAGAGAGCAGCGGTCACGTGAGTTGCAGGGCAGGAGTCAGCTGTCCAGGGCCCCTGCCAGACCAGGCTGCGGGTGGGTGGAGCCACAGGATCCAGACCAGTCAGGCCAGCTTTCCCAACCAAGCCCCCCCCAGAAAAACCGGAGGGAGGGGAAGGGCTTCCAGGAACCAAACAAAACAAGATAAAGAATGAGCCTGGATTCTTTGAGTCACCCTGGGGAAGCTGGACTGCTTGCCAGGGTGAAGAAAGCAATCTACAGAAACCAAACCAAAACAAGATAAAGTCTCTGCAGAGACAAGGGACTTCTCACCTGCCTGTGTCTTCAAAGAGATGGCTGTGTGGCCCTGGCTAGGTAGCTTAACCTCTCTGAGTTAGATGTAGTTCTCACTTGCATGAGAAAAGAAGGCTGGACAAGATCCTACTAGTTCCCTTCCAGCTTCACTCACAAAGATGTCTTAAAAGACTTCTACTCATTTCCAAATACAATTTGTGGTGGAGTGTATTGAGGCAAATCGCCAAGGGTCACTCTTGCAATACAGCCTATTTTATTTATTTCTTTATTTTTTTGGCATTTGCCTTATCACAAGTCAAGCTCTCCCCCCCTAGATAAACCTAGAGACCTACCTTTGTTTACAGAAATGCGTGGGCACTATCCAGGCCAGGCAGGTTTCACAGCCTAAACTGTTCTGGGGTAGGAGAGAGGCCCCCTGGGGGTCCTAATTTCTGTGCATTTGGACCCCTAGGGGGCACCACAGAGTGGGTGTGCAATGGACACATACACACACCTCTGCCCAGTGGGTAGCCCTCGATAGCCACCCTTCTGGAGCCTGCTGTCTTCATCCAGGAGGGCAGATTAGAAGAGGTGGCCTTGGTCGAGGGGCTCTCTGACACCTGCCCCTAGTGACAAGCAGCTTCTCCCAGGAGACTTACAGCAGAGCCCCCAGGGTGCAAGGGCACCCCAGTGGAGGAACTTGGCCACACCATCAAGCGGGTGGCACAAGCACTGCCCAGCCATTTACTAACTGGTTAAGAGACCACCAATGGGGAACCTTTGACCTATAGGTTCCCCCTCAACAAGGAGAAGCCAGGGAATGCTTAAAATTCCAAGACCCTTCCTCAAGCCTTTGGTGTCTCTCTCTCGCTCCTTTCATGAGGCACCCACAGCTCCCAGCCGTCTTCTCAAATAAAACTTCTCTGTCTGCATCGGGTTCCCGGTTTTTTATTTCTATACTAAGCTGAGGAAAGAACCCATGAGCTTTGCTTGTAACAGAGGAGACACCCTGCTCCCTGGCTGCCCACCTGCCTGGACTCAGCAAGGAGGACAATAAATTCCCCACACCTGTTAGACTGACTCAGGGCAGAGCTGGGCTGTCAGAGGTCAGGTGGTCAGGAAAACTGAAATAAAAACAACAATAAATCGTTTGGCTCAGGACTCCAGGAATGTAAAAATTAGGGGCTTGTACTGAGGCATAGTGGGTAAAGATGCTGCCTGCAGCACCAGCATCCCCCATATGGGCACTTGTTTGAGTCTCTGCTGCTTCACTTCCCATCCAGCTCCCTGCTAATGTGTCTGGCAAAGTAATGGAAGATGTCACTGCACCCGTGTGGGAGACCAGCAAGAAGCTCCTGGCTCCTGGTTTCAGATCAGTAAAGCTCCAGTCATTGCAGCTACTTGGTGAGCGAACCAGTGGATAAAAGATCTTTCTCTATCTCTCTGTGTGTATTTCTCCTTTTCTTTCTCTGTAAGTCTGTCTTTCAAACACAATAAAATAAACGTTAAATTTTTTTTAAAAAGTAAAATTTAGCTTCAAAGGGGTGGGCATTGTGGCATAGCAGGTAAGGCCATATTTGACTATATGGGAACCAGTTTGTGTCCTGGCTGCTCCATTTCCATTCCAGCTCCCTGCTAATGGCCGGAGAACAGCAGCAGAGGATGGTCCAAGTATTTAGACACCTGCCACTCCTGTGAGAACTCCCTGATGGAATTCCTGGCTCGTGGTTGCAGCCTGGCCCAGCCCTGACCACTGCAGCCAATTGGGGATTGAATCAGTAGATGGAAAATTTCTCTCTCTCCAACTTTTAAAATTAAATTAACATTTTAAAAAGAAAAATTAGCTGAGGATAAGAGAGTAAAAGTCCACCTATCCACACATTGGACTGGGATGACAGCCATAGATACTGTTAGCTGCGAGGTGAGCAAGAACTTTTTTTTCTAATAAAGATTTATTTATCTATCTATCATATTTATTTATTTATATTGGAAAGTGAGATTTACAGAGAGAAGGAGATACAGAAAGATATTCCACCTGCTGGTTCACTCCCATAGTAGCCACAATGGCTGAAATTAAGTTGACCTAAACCAGGAGCCAGAAGATTCTTCTGAGTATCCCATATGGATACAGGGTCCCAAGGCTTTGGGCCATCCTCAACTGCTTTCCCAGGCCACGAGCAGGGAGCTGGATGGGAAGTGGGCATGCTGCTACACAAATCATATGGTATCCTGGCGCATGCAAGATGAGAATTTAGGCATTGAGTCATCACGCCAGGCCCTGCTTGAATTTCTGTAATAAAAATTTTGAGGGGAAAAATATTTTTAAGAATATATTAAGGGCCCGGCACAGTGGCGCAAGTGGTTAAGGTCCTCGCCTTGCACGCCCGGGATCCCATATGGGCACCGGTTCTATTCTGGCAGCCCCGCCTCCCATCCAGCTCCCTGCCTGTGGCCTGGGAAAGCAGTCGAGGACGGCCCAAAGCTTTGGGACCCTGCACCCGCGTGGGAGACCCGGAAGAGGCTCCTGGCTTCGGATCGGCATAGCATTGGCCCGTTGTGCTCACTTGGGGAGTGAATCATCGGACGGAAGGTCTTCCTCTCTGTCTCTCCTCTCTGTATATCTGCTTTTCCAATAAAAAAAATAATAAAATAAATCTTTAAAAAAAAAGAATATATTAAAATCTTATTTTGGAAGTGAGTTGGCATAGAACAATGTTTATAATGAATCTTAAGCTTAAAAATATAAAACATAGGTTGCTTGCATAGAAAATTAGAAAATACAGATGCAAGGAGGAAAAGGAAGAGAAAGTAAAGAAAAACTCACCACGTGTGGGCATGTGGCACAGTAGTTGGGACATCACTTGGTGGAGCAGCATTGTGGGTCAATGGGTTGAGCCACTGCTTGTGATGCCAGCCTCCCATATTGAAGGGCTGGTTCAAGTCCTAGGGGCTCCACTTCCTGCCTGGGAAGGAAGCAGAAGATAGTCTAAATGCTTGGGACCCTACAACCCACCTAGGAGACCTTAATAGAGTTCTGGTCTCCTGGTCAGTCTAGCCCACCCCCAGCCACTGAGGCCATTTGGGAGTAAACCAGTGTTTGGAAGAAAGTTAACATTCCATAACAACAGAACAAGACTAAAGGTCATTTTCTTCTTCTTTTTTAAGGTAAATTTCTTAAACATTATCCAGAAAAATAACGAGACTTACGCATCTGGTTCTGCTTACAGAAGCCCCAAGCAGTCCTACTCAGCAGGTGCTGCCTCAGTGCTATGCTGCATATACATTCCAAAGTATTAAAAATACTTTGGGGAAAAAATGGCATGTATAACAAATGTGCAGACTTTCTTCTCATTAGTCCCTAGACAATATGTATTTTCATTTTTCATTGTTATTTATTATTAAAAGTTATTTATTTTGATTGGAAAGGCAGGTCAGATTCACCGAGAGAAGGAAAGGGTCCCAAGGGCTTGGGCCATAAGCTGTTGCTTTCCCAGGCCATAAGCAGGGAGCTGGCTGGGGAGCAGCCGGGATACGAACTGGTACCCACATGGGATTCTGGCACGCACCAAGGCGATGATTTTAGCCACTACGCTATCGCACCAGGCCCTTTCATGAAAAATTTAAAGTATATTCATAAAAATCCTCTAGGAGTGCTCCTTTTTACAAAATCCCTAGCCAGGAAAGTCTAGCCTTTAAGATGTCTGCATCTCACACTGGCATGTGAGGGTTTGATTCTTGCTTTTATTTCCTGACTCTCGTTCTGCTAATGCACTCAATGGGCTCCCTGGCTCCTAACTCCTGGCCTGGCCTCGCCCCAGCCTCCGCAAGCACCTAAGGAGTGGCTAATCAGATGGAAACATTCCTTCGCTCCTTTTCCACCCCTCCCTCCCTAAAAAAAAAGTTAAAAGCTTAGCCTCCTGACATGAAATACATAAGTATAAAGGCAGGAAATACTTGCTCTTGTTTACCCTGCCAACATCAATACACTTGCTCCCTTGAGACTTGAAGCTATAGCCACCTGTCCAGTTGTAGCCAAAAAAAGATAATAACAATCTTAAGAACAAAGACAGTTCTGTCTCGGCCCTTGGCTTGAGCGCCAGCCATCTCCCTAACTCACCTACCAGAATGGGTGAAAGTTTAAGCTCTAGAAACACCTCTGGCAACACGACCCCCCAACACACAGGAGTTATACATCCCTGGGACATGTATAGTTGGCATATATGAGGGTTCCCACATTGCTTGATTTGACCACGGATTGTATTACACTATATCGTAAAAAATCCCGAGATGACTTAAAGTCTACAGGAAACTGCATGTGACGTGGAAGCAGTGAGACAGTGCAGACAGCAAAGGGGAAAAAATCCCACCGTGAGGGAGAACCTGTCCCTGTGAGGACAGGCTCATGGCCTCCACAGGGCAGCAGCCATCTGTTACAGCTGAGATGCCCTCCAGGAGCCAGTGGGTCTACGGGGGCAGTGCCACGTCGGGAGCTCAGCGTTCTCTCCGTCGCTCTCCCTTATGCCTTGTCCCAGGCCTCATCCTCTCTCCCTTCCAGTCTTTTTAAATTCCACAGCCATGATCAGGTAGCCAGACCTCTAGTGCCTC